GGGTTTAGGGCTATTAGGCCTTGTAATCCCCCTAACCAACACTATAAAGGGCCTTTCTAAGGGGTGATAGGGTATAATACGCCATGCAGCCACCATGTGTCTTGACAAGCTGTTTGCAGTGCATTCAATGCTGTGCATGTTAAATTCGATTACTTTGGATAACTTTAGATGTTCAGCGCCCCTTCTCTACTACGTGTGCAACAGCAGCAGAGATGTTCCACGCCTGCGTAACGCTTCGCTGCGGAGGCCCAGGGAAGAGCTCATCAACAGCTTGCAGTATCCGCTGCTGGGTCTGAGGATCATTGCAGGAGACCCGGACGATGAAAGGTAGACATACCTGATCAGGGATTGAACCGTACTCTACTCCCCTTGAGAAACTAAATACAAATGACATGTTCAATAATCTCTTGGGTTGTGTATAACCAAAAAGCAACAGTAATTCCTAAGGGGGTCATAGCTTGTACACCTGGAACAGGACCTGAAGGTAATCTCATAATGCTGCTGCAGCGCTGCTTCCCAGTCTGCTTTGGATAGTAGCTGGGCATGTCTTCGCCGGCACTCCTTCCAAACAGTCTAGCCATCACTGAGCTCAAGATCACAACACACGGTTTAGGGTTTAGGGTTTCGGGGTTTATGGTTTAGGTTTTCTCTTGGCAGGGCTCAATGTTGGCACCTCGGACCAGGCCTTTCCCGGACATGCATTTTGCATTTCTCGAAACTTGTTTCGCTAGGTCCTCTTCGTACAGGTGCTTGCACTCCGTCGCCAGGACATCGTTGCTAAGCTTCTCCACAATTTGGTGGCGGAGAAAGGTGTAGCGCTCATACTGGCGCCTCGACCTTGGCTAAACAGGCTCGAGTGCTGCCACTGCCGGATTGCTTCCCTGTAGCACAGCGTAGCATCAGATTTCATGGCTGTGCCATGAAACGACTGCGATCGTTGATGCGGCGTTTGTGCTATGTTGGTTATGATGTGCCCCCTTATCCTAACAGTCCTTAATAGAGATTAGAATAGGGGGGGGGGTACTATAACCCCTAATAAGGATTGGAATAGGGGGGTACTATAGCCCCTAATACGGACTGTTCGTATAAGGAGGAACATCCCAACTTCCAAACGTCACAAAAGGCGCAGGGCTTCTCCAGGGTTTAGGGTTTAGGGTTTAGGGTTTAGCGGGTTTAGGGTGATTAAGCCCGGGACTGCTGCGGATCATCGTCTCTGGAGACGCAGTAGTTCCCCATCTTCCACTCTGCTTGAACCGATCCGCCGACTCACTTTGATGGGAACCTTATGAACCCTTGGGACCTTTTCGAACCCGAACTTGGGGATGTTCCCCCTTATAACAGTCCTTGATAGGGATTCTTGAGGGGGTACTATAATCCCCATTAAGGACTGACAGTATTCGCGGCAACGTCCCAAACCCGAACCGATAAAAACCACCCCCCACCCAAACCCCACCCCCCCCCCGCCCCTCCCAAAAAAAGAAGAAAAGTAACAATATGTCTGTGTATATATACATATATACATATGTCTATGTATATATATATAATTTATGTTAATATCGGTTGCTGGCAATGTTTCAGCTAGTCCACACCCGCTTGAAGCATTCTGAATTGTTGACCACCCGGAGGTACAGCCCATGCGGTCCATGTGCCCTAGCTTGTAGCCCTGAAGTTAGTCGCTTTCACTACCGTGATGCCTGTGGGTGTCTAGAGATCTTGCACGGCACAGTCAATAATCTCAGGTGGGACGTGCTCGCACGGTACTAAGAATTCCTCTGCGGCTCCACCAAAAAAAACATGCCCCACATACCATAACTCAATGAAGCCCAAGCCCCCACACTCCCCCAAAGAAAGCATGCGACCCAAACGTCTTCAGAACTGAAACGGGAAATGAAACCCGACACGCCTGAAACACGATACTTTTTGGCGCTTGCGGCCTAGGCCAGTCTCCATGAGGGTTAGCCCAACTAGGTTCCCCAGTGTCCTAGACAAAACAAGGGCACCCTTTCTCATTGAATGCAGTGTGTAGGGTTTAGGGTTTAGGGTTTAGGGTATAAGGAACCAAAGTAGCCAAGGACTTGAACAACAACAGAGTACCAAATGGGGATCCTAGTTTGCTAAATGCAAGTGAATTGAAGTAATCGCATGTCACCTCGATTCAGGCCCTACGGCTGATGGCTATTTTTGCAGTCCATTACCAGTTGGGAGCTTGGAAACTATAGGGTCTAGGGTTTAGGGTTTAGGGTTTAGGGTTTGGGGTTTAGGGTTTAACTCTTATGCCGACATCATCTGCCGTGCTTCTGCCACGCACTTGTCACGACATTAACCACCGCTTGGTGCGCCTCACCGGCGCCATACAGTCCCAAGACTCGTACAAAAGCTCCAGATGCTGACCCTAAACCCTACCCTCGCGGACCCCTTTTGAGGATTCCTAAGGGAATAGCAGGGCCATACTCGGAGTATGTTCAGGGGAACTTGTAGGGGTACGAGTCTTTATCCCTTGATACCCTCTGCTCGCGTCCACTATTATACTCGACTCGATCTCAGAGCACTGCCACGACACCGGCGCGCCCACACACACACACACTCTCACACACCGGAGATACAACACCGCAACATACCCGCGTTGCCAGTGCCCGCATTTCATACGCGTACTTATCATGGTGCGCGTGCACGCTTACGTCTCTGCGTGCATGGTTGTCGGGAAAGGCAGGATCTGCTCATGCCGCCATGTGAACTACAAAAGCAGCATGATGGACTGAAATTTGTGAGTTGTTCATAGACCCTAAACCCTAAACCCTAAACCCTAAACCCTAAACCCTAAACCCTAAACCCTAAACTCTAAACCCTTAGTTTTGCGCCTTCGAGGGACTCCGTGCAACGACCCACTTCCGTGGTTTGCGTGACTTTGCTGCAGACCAAAAAATGGGACTCGTCTGGCCCTGTCTCCCACATAGCATACACCTTCCTAATTGGGGTCTTGCCTGCTAGCCCTTATGAAGACACTTCCGTAACCGAAACCAGAAACCCATGTCTGATGTCTTGTGCTTCCCTTCAGCGTCCTAAGTCGGAGACAGGGCTTTCCGATCACTACCTGAAGATACCCTGGAGTTCGGTACCCCAAACCCTAAACCCTAAACCCTAAACCCTGAACCCTAAACCCTGAACCCTAAACCCTAAACCGGGGCTTCTAAGTTTAGTGTTCCCCAGGGCTCTAAGCGATGGCCGGCACCGGGCCATGGCTCCACTCAAACTTGCTGGTTCTTAGTAGGCACTGAGGGAATGAGGTACCCACGGTCCGTGGTTCATGGGTTTGTGGTTTAGGGGTTTGGGGTTAGGCTGTAGAGTTCAGGATTTTCACTCTGGTCCATTGGTTCATTGTGGGTTTAGAGTTTAATCAGGGTTCAAGGTTTGGGGTAATGGTAGGTTTACGGTTTCCCCTCTCCCCCTGTGGTTCGTGCTGAGTTTACGCTTCAGGGTTCAGGGTTAAAGCGGCTAAGGTTTCGGGTTTACCCTTCTCCCTCCTGTCGTTCATTGGTGGGTTTAGGTTTTAGGGCTTAGGGTTCAGGGTGTAGGGTTTAGGCTGAGGTTTCTCTGTCCTCCCCCGTGGTCCGTGGTGTTTTTAGGGCTAACAGGCAGGGTTTGGGGGGGGATGCCGTTGGGGGGGGGGGGTCGATTACGCGCAACGCGGGCGCATATAAAGGGTTATATATAAATATATTTTTGGTGTATTTATATTTATATTTATATTTATACATAGGGCCCTGATTCCCTCATTCCCTACGAAGAACCAGGGGGCAAAAAAACGGGGTGCATTGACTACGACTACCATGCAGTGCGGCCTTGGCATGCTGGTTGGGATCACTGGGGGTCCGGGGGGCGTTGGGATTCTGGGGCATTCAAGCAGCCGAAGCAGCCTGAGGCTTGCAGGATTTCAGAGTATTTAGGGTTTAGGGTTTAGGGTTTAGGGTTTAGGGTTTAGGGTTTAGGGTTTAGGGTTTAGGGTTTAGGGTTCCCTGCACACGTAGAATTGGCGGCTTCAGCCCTTGAGATTTCGAAGTAGCATCGCTCGGCGGTGCCTCTCTGGCGACCGCTCTCCGCCTTCGCCGCTTCCGCATGTCGGTTGCAAGCTGCTCGACCCCTGTATTAAGGATCAACCTTTGGGCAGGAGGAAAGCAAATGTCTCCGACGTATCTGGCTTGGCGATCAAGCATGGCAAGTATGCACCAAAACAAACGACTGATCCTGCGAAATCGCTCCACGCGGACTGCTTGGAACTGTATACAGGATGCTACCAATTGCTTAATCAGAACCCCCAAAAAACAAAATATATTCTTCCTTATATATAAGGGTAATATAGGGATTTTTTCAAAAAATATTAAATATTCTTCCTTATAAGGGTAATATAGGGATTTTTTGTGGGGGGTAGTTAAGCAAATAGTAGGATAGAGAAGGTCGGGCGACCTTTAGATCGGCGCGGAAACTCGGAGCTTCCGCAAAGTGCGCGGAAAACTTCGCGGATGGAAGGCATCGAATCCTGGCTTGCAGAAGATCATGCAACTCCGACTTTAAGCCCTAAACCCTAAACCCTAAATCGTAAACCCTAAACCCTAACCCTAACCCTAACCCCTCACCGACACTGAAACCCAGATTGTTCGCGTCGTCGCTTCCGCGGGAGATGCGCTGCCGCGAACCCTTCCGCACGCTTCCGCGGCCACAGTCCCGTGCCCTTTCGCACCCCGGCTCCCGGAATGATTTCCGTATGTAACTAACGAACTCTTAGCAGGCATGATGACAATGGCAACCCCCAAGCCCTACACACACCACGCGGCACTTCTGGTGGAGTTCTCTGTCGCCAAGCCGCTTTGTCGGTTCTTGCATCCGCCCAGCGAATTCGGCTACAGAATTCTGCAGCTTGATCTTGAAAATTAGGGATTTTCGGGCATTCGAGTTGACTTGGGTTGGATGTAGAGGCAAGAATCAATGCTGCCAGACGAGCCGCGCTAGCTCGCACCCTTGTCCTGCTCTGTTTTGACGTACCTCCACTGCGTACCACGCTCCTGGCCGAGCGCACGAGACACCCGCCTAAAGCACATGGCCTGGCTGGGGGTAGTTTGGCTAAACCCTAAACCCCTAGACCCCTAGACCCCTAGACCCCTAGACCCCTAGACCCCTAGACCCCTAAACCCCTGAACCCTAAACCCTAAACCCTAAACCCTAAACCCTAAACCCTAAACCGTGCGTCCGGTCATCTTCTCATGGCACGAAGCAGCCCAGAGGGCTTACAGCACTTCAACTTGACTAGCTTTGGGATGTCCCCCCCCCTATACTAACAGCTCCTTACTAGGGATTATAACAGGGGTTAGGGTTAAGGGTTAAGGGTTAAGGGTTAAGGGTTAAGGGTTAAGGGTTAAGGGTTAAGGGTTAAGGGTTAAGGGTTAAGGGTTTAGGGTTTAGGGTACTAGGGATTATAACAGGGGTTACTATAATCCCTACTAAGAGCTGTTAGTATAAGGGAGAACATCCCAAGATAAACCCCGCAATTCCAGGATCAAGCCCAACACCTCGAGCTCAAGCTTCTACCACCCCAGGGCTTAGGCATTGCAATTCAGGCTGAACCCTGGACCCTGCCGTTAAATACAAAAAACTTGTAATGCATACTTTAGACGAGCACACCAACAACGCCAGCAAGCCCGTCAAAAGCCCAAACGCACAGTTCAAGCTCCCAGAACTCGCCCACCAGCCGCCTGAATTACAAGGATCCTTGTTTCAATTTTGCAAGGGTATGTGCGCGAGCCTGTCGTCGGAACGGGGATCGGAAGCAGAAGCAACAGGGCCTTGGGCAATCGTAGGGCTTAGACTTCGGGCGAGAAAGCTTCGGGATTAAACCCTAAACCCTAAACCCTAAACCCTAAACCCTAAACCCTAAACCCTAAACCCTAAACCCTAAACCCTAACCTTACTTGGAGGTTCATGGGCCGCTGGTCCTGGCACTTGGTCTTTGCCTGGTCGTTTCCTCTGGCGTAGGGGATAGTACGTCCGTTCCGACAGCGACAATGCCCCAAAACACTGCTGTTTACAGCGTTCTTGCCTCTTTGCACAACATAACGCAAAAGAATGTTTGGGGTTTCTGGAACAAGACGTGCCGTCGCAAGCTTTCATGTCGTTGTGGACATGCCAAAAACAAGACTGCAATTTACGGCGATGTTTGCTTCTTGGCACAACATAACGCAACAGGACGCTTGACGCTTGTGGAACAAGACGTGCTTTCACAAGCTTTCATGTCTTTGTGAACATGCCCCCCAAAAGCGTTGTTTGTTTTACAGCGTTGTGGCCTCTTTGCGCAACATAAAAATTTAGTAGAGCTCGTCAAATATCAATCATAATGTAATCTTATCAGAACTTGTCAGGGCAGCAATCAACCAGGCAAGAAAGGGTGCCCCGACCGGGCAGTTCTAAATACGGGTAGGGTTAAGTAAGATAACAATAGTCTTTATCAAACTGAGGGTATTATCTATCTGTCTATCCCTACTTATACCTACCCAACTACACCCTGGGCTTCTTGAAAACCCGATCAACCTTGATCTCGGATTGCACCTGCACTCTAAGACCCCTATGCTACTGTTTGTTTCATAACCCCCCCAACAAAAAACGAAAGGATACTCATCCCTATACCACCCTTATAAGGAAGATGTTTCACATTTACTGGCGGGGATCTTCAGCAAATCGTAGTAGAGCCCAATTCCGAGCCCGATGATTAAAATCACAGGGTCCTTAAAGGGTTGCGTGACCCAAGGTTCCCTTTAATACTCCCCACGACTCCATAAAGGCTCCCTAATCTTCCCTAAGGTTCCCTAGGCTAAACCCTAAACCCTAAACCCCTCCCTTCAACACCTCATGATTAGACTGTTTAAAGCCCTACAGAACTTTAGGTTTGGAAGTCCGGGCTTCCCCTTGCAACTCCTTGCAACTTTCAGGGTTTAGGGTTTAGGGTTTAGGGTTTAGGTTTTAGGGTTTAGGGTTTAGGGTTTACACAATGGCTCACGACCTTTGAAGCCCCTCCCCCGCGCAAAACCTTGAGTCTTACGCGGCGTCAACGGGCTTGGAGGTTTTCAGGGCAACCCTAAACCATAAACCCAAAACCCTAAACCCTAAACCCTAAACCCTAATCCTTATATAATCCCCAAGTCCCTACACCGGTATAAACTTGTCGAGATGAGGGGCCCTCATCGTACCAAGCCCTGTAAGCCCAAGTACAAGAAAGCCTCCTCTGCCCTTAACCACCCTAAAACATGCAGTGCAATCACAGGCGTTAGGAAGCAAACTCTAAACAGTAAAACCCTAAACCCTAAACCCCAAAAACCCTAGTTGAAGGTACATGGGCAGTACATCGAGGCAGCCCCAAAATTGCGATTGTGGCGACAGACTCTACACGACAGGAGGATTGCGGCTTCGGGTCATCCTTACCCCCACTTACAGGGGAGGGAGGGGGGGTGGACTTTAGGATCTGGCCCAGGAAGGTTGAAGGGCTTGGGCTAGGGGGTATAGGTCCGAAGCATGCACTGAGGTTCCAGGCTCATTTTCTGGCTGCAAGTCCTGCATTGAGGCTTTGAGACGACTCTTCTGGGGCTTGCTCTTTCTTTTGTTCTTTAATTCTTTCTTGGGTGCCCTCAGCTTCTGGTGCGCTCTCTCTCTCTCTCTCTCTCTCTGTCAGGCTCAGGATTTACGATGCGTAGGCTTTGCTTGATGCAAGGGCGTCTGTTGAGAATCACGGTTGTCTCTTCTCGGGCACGGGGTGATCAGTGGTACATCTCTCAGGGGTCTCGGGTCTATGGAAGGGGCTGCAGGGTATGCGGGCTAAGATCCCGAAGCCCTGCCTGAATGCTGTCCACCAGTGGGGCAGCCTCCTGCAGCTTTCCTCGCAAGGCGCACATCCACACAGACCCCAAAAAGTGCGCACCATCCTGATCTTCTATCAATGGGGGCAAACCCTAAACCCTAAACCCCCCCAAAGCCCCTAAACCCTAAACCCCCAAAGCCCCTAAACCCCTGCCTGCAAGTGGAGGCCTCGTCGAATCGAAGCCCCAAGCCCACAGCCACTGCCAAGTCCACAACTTCAACGTTCATGCCAAGGGCAGCGAAAGTCTTCTAAAGCCTTAAGCCCTAAACCCATTCGTAAGAAAAATGGCCCTCAACCCTGAACCCTGAACCCTAAACCCTAAACCCTAAACCCCAAAGCTCAATGGCAGGCTCAGGGTCTGTCACCTTGCTGGAAGTGCGACACTGTACGCCGGCTCTGGCAGGCGCAAAAGGCGAACGCCACGGACAGGGCGACCTGGGGCAACGCTCTGACGTCCAAGACCATCGTAGTACTTCAGGGTAGTTGAGGGAGTTCAGGGATGTTTAGGGTTTAGCGTTAGGGTTTAGGGTTTAGGGTTTAGGGTTTAGGGCTGCTTGAGGAGCTTCATTTGGGTGGTTCTACTACGTAGGATTATAAGTTGGGTAACTATACTTATATCCTTTACTTAGGGTACTTCTACCTCCCCACGTATAACTAACCATGAACCTGCCAGTAAGCCTAAGTGGGCTTGTTCGTTGACACCCTGGGCATCTGCCATGATTCTTAGTATCGCTCATGCCTGGCAAGAAGCGACTGCCTTAAAGCTTACACTCCAGTGCCTCGGTCTGCCAAAGCAGCTTGATCACATATTCATGGAACGCCGTGGACCGTGATCCCTCTGTAAGAGATGAACCAAACCCACAAACCCGTCCCAAACCCCCACACACCCTTTTAAACACTAAAGCCAAAGCCCTCAACTTCAAAAAACCTCAAACCCTAAACCCTAAACCCACTTCGCGCTTAGGGTTCAACCCCCGTCTGGGAGGAGTTGGAAGCTTCATGTGGGTTTCATTCGGGCTTTGGGGTTTTGGGCTGAAAAAGGGTTAGGGCCCCGAAGCCCTAAACCCTAAACTAGGGGAACGCCCAGCTCCAAAGCGGAGTCAGGTTTTGGTTTTGTAAGGGCTTAAGGTTCACGTACCTGCGGTTCTATGCTCTTATCTACTAATTGCTTAAGCACACCGCAAAATATAAATATTCTTACTTATAAGGGTAATATAGGGATTATTGTTTTTTCTTCTTTTGAGGTTCTTAAGCAAATAGGTAGTTATTAGCCGGGTTTGCAGGGTTCTGGGGGGTTGCAGTGGGCCCCGAATTGTGATTTGCTCTGGGGTACCTCACATGAGGCTATACATGCCCATATTAGAACAGCTCCCCAATACAATGAAGACGTCGGTTAGGGAACCTACAACCTGAGGGCAGCACGGCCGTGTGGTAGAAGAAGGTCTCATTCAAGACCCCATCCACAGGCACTTCCAGTTGCAGAATTCCTGCGTCCATGTTGCTGTTGGGCTCGCTGTTGGGCGGAGTTTGAAGATTTATAATTCAGCGCCCCCCCTCATATTGACAAGGTTACTCGGAATAATGCGGAGGTATCCCAAAATTGCAAAATACACCGATAAGAATAACAAAAGACTGAAGCTCTTGCTTTTTCCTACAAGGCTAAGCTCCTCAACCCTTGACCCCCTAGGCTCCCAACTCCTGAAACCCCGCAACCCCTCAACTCCCCAACCCCAACCCATTTCGTATTATTGAGCTATTGTGGGTTGTCAAAAAGTGCTCGTTTTGGGGAGGGGAGGTGCGGAGGCGCGGGGTGGGAGGCGGGAAGGGGGGGGGCGGCCTTCTCCAAACAGAGTCCACACTGAGGGGCTCCAACGCATAAAGTGAAGGGCGATGGCAGCATGTCGCGAGCCCTGGCGTCCAAAGCGATGACAGCTGTGCGTGTCGTGATCCTCGAAGCAAAACACGGAGAACAGTTTCGAGGACCGCGCTTCGCGATTCTCGTCCAAAATCGTGGCGTCGAGAAAAAGACAACACTGTCGGCCGCGCGTGCCCTGCGCGGCCGGGGCGGGCCCTGGGCGCGCCAGCTTATCTGGGGGTTTCCGAAATTAGGGGTACCTTACTGAGGTCCTTATATTATACGGGGATCCTACTATTTGGGAGGGTCTATATTCAGGGGTCCCTTGATATCGTAAACGGCGCAAGGCTTAAACTCCATCGATCGGTGGAACTGCATCCACAAGCCATTTTGCATGGGGAAAGTTGCTACCACTTCGTGCCATGGTGGCAGCAACACCTTGCAGGCTTGACTGCATGCTGGCCTCCCTCTTGCTTTTGCTGCAGCATCTCAAGTCGGGAATTTGCGGCATGCCGAGTGAGGGTGTGAAAAGTATAGGGGCCATAGTGATTAGAATAGGGTTTTGGGGGTCGTTACAGTAAAACGATATAGGGGCCATAAGGGAATACTAAGTATGCCGACCCCTATATTGCTTTCCAGGCCCATGTTTCTGACACTTCCAGTTTCCTGAAAGCTTGCTTGGACCCTCAACCACAAAGAGCTTTTTATGGGGTTGACAACTTGGGGGTTTTATCTGTTCCCCCCTTACTAACAGTCCTGAATAGGGATTGTAGTACCTCCTACTAAAATCCCTACTAAGGACGCGTAGTAGATGTGGGAACATCGCAAGTTATGTAGGGTTTAGGGACCCAAGCTTTGGAGCTTCGGGTTTCAGGGTTCAGGGTTTAGGGCCTCCAGCAAGGTACATGATGCCGCTCAAGATCATGAGCCAGTGCGGCGGACGAAGCGTGGTGCCTGGACGGGCATTCGGGTCTGTGAAGCTCTGCGGGGTTTACGAATTTTGGGGGGACCCTAGAAGAGGCCCCCACATAGTAGGATTGCCTCACAATAAGGACCTCAACAAGGTACCCCAAATTCGGAAAATCACCAGTTGCATCAGTAAGTAGCTACAATCATCATCAACTGTCCTTGTGAATTGTTCACCTGCTTGCAGCATCACTGTCCCAGCAACGCTGGCCTGCTAGGACTGGATTCCTGCCTTTTTGCTCTAAGCTCAGGGAACCCTGAGAAGAACAGGCCAAGTGAAGCGATTACCAAAGAACTGGTGATTGATGTGGTATGTATAGTCATGATCTTATGTGATCTTGAAACCTATGATTTTCGAGTTTTTGCCACTTAGGGTTTGGGTCTATATGGTTTTTTGCTTACAGGGCTAGGATGAGAAGACTGGTAGCAAGCAAAGATGGCCGAGGTGCTCATGGCATCGAGCAGTGGCAGCAGGGCAGCACACGCAGCCAAGGACAAGCTTCCGATTTTGTAGACCTCGAGACAGAGACTTTCATTGACATCAGGAATGTTGTGAACCCAATGCCCTGCACCCAGCCTGAAAGCAATATGTCCGGGCCCGAACATAGAACGTGGCTAGAACTTTGTCGAGTGATTCGATCACTGAACCCTCATCATTGCAGCTGGAACACTAGAGACTGTGGCTCTCCTCGCACAAACCTCAGGCATCGTCCCGGGATGTTTCAGGGACTCGTCCGCGCAGCATTCTGATGACCCGCAGAGGTCGCTACGGCCTCCTAAAGGCACTTTTTCTAGGCTCATGGGTAGTCAGAAGTGGGGTTAGAGTAGAGTAACTATACCTTTAACTGGTTCTAACCATATTCAGGGCCTACTCAGAGTCAACCATGAACCTCCTATAAAGGCACTGCTCTTCCCGTTCTGAGGCTTCTGCGGCAACGCCACAGAAGGCTCTCAGGCCCCGGAAGCCCCACGGAGCCAAGTTGCCAGAGCGTGTCGTAGGCTGCAAGGGCCAAGGCCACCAAGGCCAAGACGAGCAGAAATCCGAGGCTAAGGTAGCTTGGCAACTTGCTGCTAGAGCCTCAGGGTTTAGGGCCCAAGGGTGGAAGGTTTAGGGGGTTTAGGGTTCAGGGTTTGGGGTTTGGGGTTTGGGGTTTCGGGTTTAGGGCAGAGCTTCCTGGGAGTGTCAGTTGCAGAAACCTGAGATGGAATGTAAGGCTTTGGGTGGAAGCTGCAGTGTTCGGGGTTGGGGATGCAGTCCATGCCAACCATGCGCTAATGTACCGGGGGCCTCCAAGACCTTGAGTCTAGGGTAGGACTAAGGGGACCCTTGGGGATATAGACCCTCTGAATAAGGTCCCTGTTTAAGAGAGCCAGAAGAGGGTTCAGAAGGGATCCCTTTTTAAGGGTCCCCCTTATCCTACCTAGGAGAGTCATGCCCAAGGTTTCAGGACAAAAACCTCCTACGTTGAATCGTTGATCATATGGAAGGCCTGTACAAGCAAACGCTTTTGCCATGCCTGAGGTTTCTCCCCCAATGAGCCGCAAGAAAACAGAAGTCACACCTAAGTCATGCCTTTGGACGTTTCCTCCAGTGACCGCACACACCCAGGGAGTTCCAAATACAGCTCTTAGATTGACGAAGTCGAGGCTTTTTTGGGGTATCTGCAGCACCCAAACGACAACCAAACAGCAACAGCAAAACTCCAATGACTGCGAGAAATATCTGTTTGCCTTCGAGGTCCAGGCTCAAAACCTCCCTGCCGGCTACCCAAGGCATCAACCACAGCAAGCAACCAAAAACCTGCTCCGCAACACGACCTTCTTTGGGGCTGTCTGGCACAAAAAGAACTCTGGTAAACCTCGAAGATTCTCCCTTGGAGCCTGCATAGATAGGCATCCCAAGCATGTGCTTGTGCCTTCCATATGGCGGGGTCCCTTAACTTGTGAAACATTTTGTCCGCTCGTGGGCCTCTGAGGGTTCAGCGCGTTCCGAGGAAACAGGATTCCATTTAGGCGGCGCAGTGCGGCGCAAATAAAAAGTAGCCCCCCGCCCCCCGCAACTCCGCAACCCCCAAACATCTGCCAAGCTGCTGAAGCTGGTTATGCTGAACGCCAATGCGGCAAGCGCTGCCGTTGAGAAGGGCCAAAAAGCAATCGTAAAGGCCCAGCAATACCTCGGTCGCGCTTTCTTCTTGTTATTGGGCCTGAATGGCACCCCAAATGCCCGCAACAAGTTTGTAACCTGCACCCATCGAGCCCGAGGCCGCACAATAGGATGTCAGCCTTCTTCCCATGTTCCCCTTATACTAGCAGAGCAGTCCTTACTAGGTATTTGAGTATCCCCAGTTCTAGTCCCTGAAAAGACTGTCAGTATAAGGAAGTTTGATCGAAGTCCCGGGCTTTTGAGGGTTCTGAGCGGACAGGCTGCATCCAGGTGTGGTTCACCCCGCTCCAGTCATGGCTGCACGGCTCATTCCTTGGATCTTTGAGTGCAGCTATGTTGCAAGGCCCTGAGTCAATGCACCAAACCGAGAGAGAGAGAGAGAGAGAGCAAGAGAGACTTTGGATCAATACTGTCTTCCCAAATGCTGGGTCCCTTTCAATGCTTTTTTGTTGGCCCGTGTTCGGTACCTCGCTTCTGGCCATCGAAGAGCTTTGCACTGGAGCTATAGACGTAGTATATCATGCTATACGCCTTACCGGCCCAGACTTCTAAACCGCCCCCACCCACCCCCCCCCCCCCCCCCCTCCCCCAAGCCCCCCAACCCCAAAACCACAATTCCGAACCCTCTCAGCCCTGTCAAGCCCAGATGGGCCCGATTTGCATAAACCCTAAACCCTAAACTCTAAACCCTACACCCTACACCCTACACCCTGCACCCTGAACCCTGAACATCCCTGAAACGAAGTCCACTCCAGGGCTCATGTGGAGCATCATGAAGGCCGCCCCGCCAAGGCCGAAGGCTAGGCAGGTGGCGCAGGCGAAGATCAAGAACAGCTGCGAGGGCAGCGTGACCTGGGTGTTTAGGTTTTTTTTGGTTGGTTGGTTGTTTGTTTGTTTGATGTTTTTAATGGGGTTGTTCGGGTTTGTGGGGTTTAGCGCGTCATGGCGTCCACCTGTCACTCGACATCCCCGCCTAAAGTGTCATGCATCTTGGGCTAGACAACCTGCTTGGGTCTATCTCTAAGACTTGCTACGCCCAAGGAAGTATCGAACTTGCCGAACTATGGTTCCTACATAATTAGACTATGCGCCTCCTTCGAGCTGAACGGTTTCGATGCGAGGTGTTGTGCTTTTCTCATCTTTTTCCTTCTCTTCTCGGAGCTAGGCATAACGGATACTTTAGGGGTCTGAATAATTAAAACCTGGGTTTTGGAGTACTATACTTCAATACTTTTTTTGGTTCTGGGTTCCTATTGTAGCTAATGATACCTTAAAAAATATACTTTACTCCAGGGTCTACCCCCAAGTAGGGGAACGGGATTTTGGGGGTACCCTAAACCCTAAACCCTAAACCCGAAACCCGAAACCCGAAACCTCAACCTTACAGTTCCGACCTGATCTTGCAGCACACTATCCGCAATGGGCTCTGCTTTGGCAGAATGTCCCCGCAGGGGTGCTCTAAGATATCTCAAAGACGATATACATCTAACTTATAATTAAGGATTATAATAATCCTTCATTTAGGAACCGCCAAAAGAGTACCCCCCCATTTGCGGAAATTGCTTCAGCCTCAACTAGACCCGGGAGTAACCTAGGAAGAAAAAGGGTACCCGTTTTGGTTTTAAGGGGATTATAAGGGAACCCCAACCCTAAACAAAGGAAAATGGGCCTACTCCCGGTCCTAGAATATGACTGGGCATTTGCTTGCTTGGAGGACTGGCCTTGGACTGTGTTAGGACGGGCTGTCTGCCAGGAAGCAGAGTCAAGCAGAGTCATGCGACAGCACCAAAAAAAGGGAGAAGATACCAAAGACTTCCGGCAGTTGACCTGCACACGAAACATGCACGACGATAGCGCGTGTATGTGACTTTGGTCTGTGGGTTTGTGGGTTGCAGGTTTATATCACACGAAGCCTTCAAATTAAGCCCCCGAAGCCCGGAGACTGAAACGCGACCTAATTGACTTCCAAGGTGCCTGACCCATGCCAGCCAGGATGGCACAGACTATGCATATCCCGGCGACCACCTTGGGTGAAGGGGGTTGGGGTCGAGGGTGTGCGCTTTGTGTGGAGGGTATGGTGGGTTGGCGTTGGCGGTGATAGAATACACGATTCTGCTTGCTTCCAAATTGGCACTTCAAGGACGAATAGAGACACAAGCGGGGAGAGAGAGAGAGAGAAAACAAAAAAGAGGAGGCAGAGGAAGTGAGGCAGGAAGAAAGAAAGAACAAAGAGAAAGAGAGAGAGAGAGAGAGAAAAATAGAAACAAACGATAAAAAAGAGAGAGAGAGAGCGAGAGCGCAAACTGGGGAAGAGGGAGAGGGGGAGACTTGCCACGAAGCCGCGTAGGAGCTTGCCCAGCCCGGTATAGACGAGTCCCAAAACTGGCAGTCTCGCCAGTGCGACTCCATGGTCGGCTCTGGAGGTCTGCAGCTTGCAAGTAGGGAGTTCAGGGATGTTTAGGGCTTAGGGTTTAGGGCTACTTCGAGGTTCATTTGGGTAGTTATAAGTGGGGTTCGAAGAAGGGTAGCTATGATTATTATACATGTATTTCGGGCACGTAAAGCCCTACTTATATCTACCATGAACCTCCAAGTGCAGAGTGTCGGGTTTGGGGCTTTCTTGGATCAGATATATGGTCCCTTAGTATGGGCGCCCCGTATATACCCTTATATACCCTATGCAACCCAAGGGCCCATACTTCAGAACCCTGGAGGTAAGGGACCAAATTCAGGGCCCACCCTAAACCCTAAACCCTAAACCCTAAACCCTAAATCCTCAACACTAAATCCTTAAAGGCTTCGAGATCAGGGTTTAGGGCTCCTGGGAAGTGGGGCTGGTCCCGGGGAGGGTAGCGCTTCGAGATTAGAGCTTCAACCTTTCAGACCCAAAGAAACCGACACCGAAACTACTAGTTGCTTAAGAACCCCCACCCCGCCCCCACCCCCCCCCCCCCCCCCCCCCAAAAAAAAAAAAAACATCTTGCTTGTAAGCGTAATATTGGGATGATTATCTTGTGCTTTTGGGGTGTTTAAAGCAAATACTAGGGCACTTGTCTCGGACCAGCCCGTCCAATCGGCAACCCAGCCCCCGCTAAACCCCAAACCCCAAACCCCAACCCTAAACCCTAAACCCACCCTAAACCCCAAACCCTAAACCCTAAACCCTAAACCCCAAACCCCAAACCCCAAACCCCAAACCCCAAACGCCTCTGGATCTGCCCAGGAGGAGCTCAAGGTTTCAGGGCCCTCTGAGCAGCCAGAGCTTCGAGCTTCGTGGCAGCGTGCGAACTCATACTTACAGGGTTTAGGGTTTAGGGTTTAGGGTTCAGGGTTTAGGGTTCGGGGTTTAGGGTTTAGGGGTCAGGGTTTAGGGTTTCGGGTTTAGGGTCTAGGGTTTAGGGTCTAGGGTTTAGGGCTAAAAATACCTTGGTAGTCCAGTAACCATATCGCAGTAAGGGCACCCCTTTTTGGGGTTGGTTCCTTGATAAGGGAACCTTGAACCCAAAAAAGGGAAAAGGGAACCACTGGGCTACCCGTACACGAAGGCTCGCACGACGTGCACACGTACACGTTGACGTCTCATAGAAAGCACCCATGCCGAGCCAAGCTGGAAGATACACATGCATGGTGAACCCCAAACCCTAAACCCTAAACCCTAAACCCTAAACTCTAAACCCTAAACCCCTCTTACCGAACCGCCGCTGGCCCGGTGTGGGGATTCGGATGGAGGAGTCTGCGGCTTGGGCTGCCCCCTTCTTCGAGTCTCAAGGGAAAAGCCGCATCACAACTCCCCTAAACCCTAAACCCTAAACCCTAAACCCTAAGTCTGTGTCTTTCGTGCTTCTTGTTCGCCCCCTACACCCTAAACTTCAAGCCTACGGCCAGTTTGGGATGGCTTGGGCAGGTTTGTATTATCAGTTGCGCTGCCATTCGTCGAGCTTTCCTGGTAACTCTGATCAACTCTGAAACCCTAAACCCTAAACCCTAAACCCTAAACCCTAAACCCTGAACTGCGAAGCGGCGTTTTCCGCAAGAAAGTCGCGCAAGAATCCTTGAGTAGCTAGGGATGGTGGCTTGCCAAAAGCTGGGGCTCCCTGCTCCGCATCCTATCCGGTCTTATCCTATCTTGCAGGGGCTTGGGGGCATATTGGGGCCCGTAGGCTGGAGTAACTTTAGTAAGTTTAGGGTTTAGGGCAAGGGTTTAGGGTTTAGGGTTTAGGGTTTAGGGTTTAGGGTTTGGGGTTTAGGGCTTAGGGTTTAGGGTTTAGGGTTTAGGGTTTATGTACAAGGACTGCGGATGGACCTGCTAGGCCACAGTTTCATACGTTGTTGCCCTGGAGTTGTGAAACGGAAAAGGTTCAGTACAGAGCTGCAGCAGTTGCCGGCAGCCTATGAACCAAAAAGGTAGCAGCTTTTTCTTGGCTCTCTGTAAGGAAGCCTCTTGCTTGCCATACTGTAAAGCTATGTCCGCATACTATATACACACACACGACCCGGGCATTTCAGAAAGTCTCTTGGAGAACTTTCCACAACATGGTTGAAAGCCGTGCACGGGTCAGGAAAGGGGGTTGCTTAGGTTTCTATCGTCTCTAGTTTGCCATGTGGCAATGAGGGCCAACGCGTGACTACGCCTCCCCTTTCAAGGAGGAGCTCATGCATTTCCTGGTGCAACTTTGTCAAGTTTGAGACTTGCTCCCGGATCTTCTTGTTCTGCTGCTTCAGGGCAAAGACATCCACCGACCGAGCATTGCCTCGTAGAAGCAGACATCCCTCCGTGAACTCCTCAAGCGTGAGGACGTGATTTCCGTCCAGGTTGAGACTATTGAACAGCGTCCAAGCATCCGTGGCACTAATCTCCAAGGATTCCAGGAAGGCCTTAGTAGCCCCAGCAACCATATGATAATAAGGGCACCCTTTTTTTGGGGTTGGTTACTTTATAAGGGAACCTTGAACCCCCAAAAGAAAGGGAAAAGGGTACCACTGGGCTACCCCGAGGCTTTCATATCCTCGTCGTTATACACGGCCTCAAACTCTGTGATGGTAATCGTCCCAAAGCCGCTCATGTCCATCTTCTGGAATAAGTGAGCGGCTGCATCCCGAAGTGCGGTTCTGTTCCTTAGCTGGTGAGTTCAAAAGCCCCCCCTCAAAAAGTGCACACGTTCAGTTCTGTAGGGGAGTCTGGTATCCCCAAGAAAGTCTAAAAGTGTACGCATTCAGCTACTAAGGTTCTGCATCATCACATCATGGTTCTGCTCAGCAGCACGGATCGCGCTGGAAGAAAACACGCCGGTCATTACATTCAGCCTGGGCTGGGTGGACCTACAGACCCTAAACCCTAAACCCAAGACCCTAGACCTTAAACCCTAAACCCTAAACTCTGAACCCTAAACCCTAAACCCTAAACCCTAAACCCTAACCCTAATCCCCTAATCCCCTAATCCCCATCCTCTGACAGAAAGTGGCTACTTGCCTTGTACAACAGGTTCGACGTGCACGAAGCTCGTCCAGCCCGAACTGCACACTACTAATTGCTTGAGCACCCCGAAAAAACAAAAAGATTCGTCTAGTAAGGGTAATGTAGGGATTATCATTTTTCATTCTTTTGGGGTTCTTAAGCACAAGTAGTACAGCAGTCAAAAGATAAAAACTTCCGACTCACAGCCAAGAGCAATGCCAGCACTGCCAGCGCGATGAAAAAGTTGAACAACTGTACCCATTCTGCACCCACAGGGTACCTGTCGCACCCATGTAGGGTCTGAGCAGGGTGGGTGGGGGGAGGAGGCATCCTGTTGGAACCCGGGTTTTGCCGAACGTTGAGCACTTGAAGCAGCTGCTTGCTGCGAACAGTGATGTTAACCAAGGAGTTAAGACGATCAGTTTAAGTTGGTTTTGAAGTGTCGGGTGGAGACACCACTTTTGGGGTGAGCAGGCAGTAGAAAACACTTCCAGGAGGATGAAGGTGCAAACTATCTGCGGGCTCGTGCCAATCCACGCCCGCCAAGACTGAACGATATAACGTGCTCATGGATGTCGTCACTGTTCCAAAGTAGTGATCCAAGTCGTCAACGTGAGTGCTGTTGGGGTTCGTCCTGATGTAGTGCCCGGCTGCATCAGTGAACAAAATGGAGAAGATGTACAGGACCAGTCCAAGAAGCAAGAGAATCCAAAACAGTGACTTTGTTGCTCCCACCATAGAGTAAACCAACGTCCGCAGGGCACTGAGAAAGCGAATCACCCTTAAAGATCGGACAGTCTGCAACAGTCGGGTGACGCGAAAGATGCGGAAGATCCGCAGATTGCTGCTGGCCTCCCCATCTCCACCTGACTGGGTCGCCAGCTCCGCGGCCAGCTCGACCCATGACGAGACCACGACGATGACATCCAACCATCCCCAGGCCCAACCTTGTCCGCACAAGTACTTCCTGGGTTGGCCATTTTAAATGTATTTAGGGTTTAGGGTTTAGGGTTTAGGGTTTAAGGAAGATGGAAAATGTCCCAAACACCAACGTGGCTTCTTCAGTCCATACGCGACTATGCGCACTCCGATCTCAAACGTGAAGAGCACGGCGTAGACGAAGTTGGCAACAAGGAAGCCCGCCTGCGTCTCCGCGGTGCCAGCCAGCGACGATATCTCCAGCTGCACTCCCAGAAGCACCTATACTCCCCTTAGAACCTTAATAAAAATTATATTGTTAATATCCTCCTGGGTTTTATATATATATATAAACAAAAATAAAATATAATTCCCAAGGGGGATATAGGCACTGAGTTGGAGATGATGACCAGAAGGAAGAAGAAGTCAAACCTGGGTGAGGACGCTATGAGCTCAGCCTGCTGCTGCAGAGTTTGAAGGAGACCAGATTGAGTGTCGGTCTGCCTTGGCTCTTCTCGACCCTTCTCGTAACTGTATTTGAAAAACCTCGTATAGTAAACACCAGTTCAGGGGTTCAGGTTCTAGGTTGCTTGTGAGAAAGTGAGGGCAGCGAAGACCGTGCTCCAAAAGAGACTGGTTCCTTCTGGCCGACATGGAGGTTTCCGAAAATAAGGCGCCCGCATATAGTCAAATAGTAGGATTCGAAACCCCCAAATATTTCAACCTCAGAGAGGAAAGTTCCAACAGTGTCCAAACTGCTCGTCCTTCTTCGGCATCACGGCTTGGGAAGCGGTGCGCTCAAAGTGAACTCGGGCGGCCTGTTCCTTAGGGTTTCTCTTCGTTTTGGGGTCGAAGAAAAGTGGCACGTGTGCCATCAACGACGCGTGTGTTATACCTTGCGGTCATGTGATTGAAAGTCAGCTGTGTATGCAGTGTTGTTTGTCCTTCTGGGTTCCCTATTGACCTAGTTAGGAAGGGTAATGTTGCACCCGGTTTAGTGAGAGGGGGCACTATTATGCGATGTTTCCGAAACCTTATAGGGGACCCGGCATTGTTTAGGGTGGTCCTCAATTATGCGATGTTTGCCGGGCCGGGGTCGCCGGTAAGGGCAAAAAATGCTGATCTGGTTTAAACTTAGAGAGGCCAAAAAGGAAGCTGGTACTACTGGTACTACGACGACGACGACGACAACCCCAGCCCACACTATACAGGATCCCCGAAAACCCCAAAATTGTTTTTTGGGGGGGGGGGGGACCCCTACGTGACGTACTAAACCGAGTCCAACATTACGCTTTCTGCTTGATGGGATTTATCCCAAAACCCTAAACCCTAAACCTTAAACACTCTTAAACCTAATCCCCCGTTTTCGGGGTGGGTATACTCCATTTTTTACGAAGAACGGCACGTTCTGCTCAATTTCCTAAGGTTGGCGACCCTTTTACATGCGTGTGGGTGATGGCAATTTCTGGGTGCTTGCAGCCTCCAAATGTAGCGAACTCGCATGGTTGTTCACACGCTCCAAACGCTGCAGCTGCTTAAAATTGCATCGCTGATGCTGTTCAGTGTACAAGCTCCGGAATTGCCAAGTGTTGGACGTCTTCGCACCGGCTCAAACTTCGGTTAAGCTCCGCATGCTGCAAGTTCGAGTGAGCGCAAACGTCTCTACTTTACAGCATGTTTGGCTGTTCCCTAAACCCTGAACCCTAATCCCCCAAAATCATCCCTGAACCCTAATCCCCCAAAATCATCCGATGCTGGCAACATGTTTTTTTGGCTGACCAGAAGCTCCACAGATGGAGCAGGTTTTATTGCCACCCCCCCCCAAACCCCCCGACCCCCCGCCCCCGAGGGCAACAGCAATGGTCCAGGGCTTTATCTGACACGTTCTGCCGCAAAAGAAGGCTTGTGTTCTGAACTGTAATTTTGAATCAACACAGTTGCTCGGATTGGCTTTGGCTGATGCGAACATGTCAAAGTTGCCGTGTGAATCTTCCAAACATGGCTTGACATTGGCATGGCGTTCTCATAGAATGGAGGGTTGGGTGGCAGACCCCCCCCCCCCCCCTTGAAAGGCCAAGGCTTGGTGGCCCCAATGACAAACATCTTAGGGTAGTTCCCTCTATGCCCCTTCGAGACCTTATCCAATGCAAGGGCCCATACATTAGAACCCTTTGATGGAGGTAAGGGAACAATTTTACGGACCCCTATACCCCACACCCTACACCCTAAACCCTCTACCCGTAGGAACAAAGGGGCACCGGGTCCTAGCTTTGGGATCCCGCTCTGCAGAGCAGGCTCCAGTGCTTCATCGTAGCTTACACGCGAGGCTCGCCTGGATGGTCGGGGGTTCTTTGCGGCTTGTCAACCGAGTTGTACAGTATCCTGGGGGAGCTAAAGGTTAACTTTTGGGGATTTGAATACCCCAAAATGGTCAAAGATACCTACTCTTCTACTAAGTTAAGGGTTTAGGGTTTAGGGCTTGGGGCTTATAGGGTTTCGGGCTTACAGTTAGGTTGTTGAGCTCAGGAAATTACTGGAGCACACGGGCTTAGGTGATCGGGTTTGTGTAGAGTTTCCAGGAGCACCTTGGCTAGCTTCAGTTGAAAGCTCGCTCTAAACTTGCAAAAAAACTCAAGCGATGCCTAATTTGGGGTCTACACACGCCACGAGTATGATTGGGTACTTTGTTGGGAGTTCCAGGTATGCTGCTCGCACCTGGTCCTGCGCTGACTAGTTCGTGCACACTGGCGCGAGGATCCACACTCAGCCGCCGGATCGACTGGTGAGGATAACCTGGATCATGGTAGGGATATCTTTAAAAATCTAAATGCTTATTCCTTACAGGGTTTAAGTACCCTTAAGAATGTAAAATGGTAGCCAACGATGACAAAGTAGCGGAGTGTCCTCGTCCCCTTGCACCTCTGCTGCCGTCTGCTGCGAATCAAGCTCGTGATCCTCCGTGCTGCTCCTTGCCATGACCACTCTGGTTTAGGGTTTAGGGTTTAGGGTTTAGGGTTTAGGGTGTAGGGCTTAGGGTTTAGGGTTCTTAAAGGGGGGGGGGGAGTATGCAACCCAAGGTTACTCCCTCAGGTTTCCTAGGTACCTACCCACCATGAACCCACCTCCCTTAAGAACCCTGTCATAGAGATTCCCAAAAAACTCTCCAAAGCCAGCCCGACAAAGGCGTGACTTATTTTCACGCGCACGGCCCCTCAAAGCACACCACAAGTTGTCAGTCCTTGTCAGTTCGCCACGCTTAGCCCAACCCTGCACCCCGCAGTTCATGGGTGGCCATACGAGAAGTACTCGAACTAAGGTGATGAGGAGTTATGAAATAGCTACCCTACTTGTAGCCCCCACTCAATACTACCCCAAAAATGAACCTCCAAGTATAACCCCGAAACCCTAAACCCTAAACCCTAAACCCTAAACCCTCAACCCCAAAAGCTGCACAAACCCTCAGTCCTGAGCGCGGCGGCGATGGGTTCGTGTGCCATGTGTCTCTGAAGTAGGCTGTCCAGGCGGAGGAGCCAGGCATCCAACTGCCCCATGACCTTCAGTGCTCCCATGGTTGGGCTTGATTTTGGGTTTAGGGTTTAGGGTTTAGGGTTTAGGGTTTAGGGTTTAGGGTTTAGGGTTCAAGGTCTAGGGGTTTTTACGCAGAAAAGGCTCGTGTCTTAGGATATGGGGTTTAGGGTCTAAGTTTAGACTTCTTGCGGGGCTGTTGGGGGAACGGGACGAAATTCTGCAGCCTAACCCAAATCCCCCGCCCGCCCTGCCCCACAGGTCGCGTGAAATTCTACCATAGACCCTAAACGCTTAGCGCACCACTAGGGGAGTCTTTAGGGTTTATATAGGGTTTAGGGTTTAGGGTTTAGGGTTTAGGGTACAAAGCACTGAAGGCGGCCCGAGTGGCGTCTTGACCCTGCCTTCGGAGAGCTTCATCGAGCAGCCGGGAGATCTCCGAGCTTTCCATGGCTTCACAGGTCACTATAAACCCCGGAGCCCCTGAATCCTAAACCCTGTAAACCCCAAAGCCCCTGAAAATCCCAAACCCGGAAGTCCCTTGCGAGGCCCGCAAGATCAAGCCATAGCTTCGCAGATTTCCCAAACGCATTCCGGAGAGGGCTTACTTGCTCAGACGCGCTGGTGTGAAGTGGTGCGAAGGACTTGTTCTACGGCCGTGAGACGAGCAAAACTGGAGCCGGAATTCCAGGAGTATATGTGGCAACCCTAAACCCCAAAACCCCAAACCCTAAACTCTAAACCCTAAACCCCAAACCCTGAACTGCAGCTCTGCACCCGACCCCAAGATGCCAAGCCCTACCCTGAAGCCTGATCAGTGCAAGCCTGTCAGACACCACATTTCGCTGAATCTGAAGAGCTCGGAAGATCCGTGAGTCTCGAAGCTAAGGGCTAAACCCAAACCCCTAAAGAACCCTCGACCCCGAAACGCTCCATCGGCCCTATAAGCACCCTAAGACCCTGCAAAACTGCAACCCCCAAATCCTGCGACCCCGTGAACCCTAACCGAGCGCATCGTTTCTTCAACTGCTGTGTCCAAGTCGATGCCCATGTGGCAAGGCTGCTGCTCAGCATCACGATAGTATATACCCTGAGAGCCACAAGTTGCCATGCCAGAAAACTCTTTACATCGTCATACTGAGCAAAACAACGAGGGGACTGCAGATTTCACTGGAGACTTGTGATCAGGTGAGACTGTCCTGCGGTGTCCTGCGCGCCCGACCTTTTGGCTGGTGCTGCGCCCGCACTCAGAACAGATATGAAGCAGGGTCTATATTTCTGTTTTGGTGAGTGTATATAAGGTTCCTTTTGAATATTGGTGAGTGTTTTTATTGGGTGTCCTTTTGGGGTTACAAGAAATATAAACCCTACTTCATATATGCGTGTGTATGTGCACAATGTGCTATATGTGTATGTATATATACACACATAGATACAGTTCTATATATATATATATATATGCATATATGTATGTATGTATGTATGTATGTATGTATGTATGTATGTATGTATGTATGTATGTATGTATGTATAGTACATCTATGTTAAGAGCTATACGAAACAGCCGTGACTATGAACAGCACAGCTCATTGGCTGCAGCTTCTGCAAGCTAACAATGGCAGCACGATGTACCCACGCCTGGCAACGACAGCTGCGGGCAGGGGGGACGCCTCATACTTCAAAAATTGGCGGGGAGAATCGGCGTAGGAGCGGCCTATGGATCTGCTCCATGATCTTATGCTGGTTCTGCGCGATCGTTTGTATCTGTTCGCGAAATTTCACATGCTGCTGCCTGAGGGCGTAGAGGTCCACGGACCTTGCCGGGCCGTGCAACTTCAAGCAACCTTCAGTGAACTCGTTGATGCCAATCAGGCCATTCCCATCTTGGTCCAAGCTGGCAAAGAGCGTCCATGCATCGCTTGCACTGATCTCTATGGAATCCTTGGTAGCCCGGTAACCATATTATAATCAGGGCACCTTTTTTGGGGTTGGTTTTTTTATAAGGAAAACCATAACCAAACAAAAGGATAAAAGGGTACCACTGGGCTGCCAAGAATCTAGGAAAGCCTTCATGTCCTCATCATCGTACAGGCTTTCAAACTCGTTAATGGTGATTTGGCCAAAGCCGCTGCTATCCATCTTCTTGAAAAGATCCGCGGCCATGTCTCGAAACTGATTTCTGTTTTGCATCATAATTGTGTGGTCATGCTCTGCCGCACGTATCGCGGAGTTGCAGAAAACCTTGCCATCACCAAACTTCACCAAACTCAGTTGGTTATTTCGGATGTGGACAGCTCTGCCTACCAGGGCCCACAAACTCCTTCCAAGTTTGACCAAGCAACACCGGTCATGACCTGGAAGGCACAAGTCTTCAGTGTCAGGTTCAAATAGGTTGCTAGCCACCAGCCCGTCAACCCTACACCCCCGATGTAGGGTTTTTAGGGTTTAGGGCTTAGGGTTTAGGGTTCTGAGTTGGGCACGTGACTGGCACCTCATTTGCCCCGCACCCCTGCTCCCAACTAAGTTTCAAACCCCTCCCCCCCCCCCACGATTATTCAATATATGCCCATATACTGCAATTTACCCAAAAGTACAATGCTCCCCTTAGAACCTTAATCAAAACAAAAAATAATTCCCCCAAGGGGGATATAGAGTATATTATACGAGGGCTTCCTGCACTGTACTCTAGAATATATACTGGATAACGCAGCATGTCTCTGCTTCCCAAGGCTCGTTGAGAATGGCAAAGCTCACCTCAGCCAGCTTTAGGGTTTTGGGTTTAGGGTTTAGGGTTTAGGGTATCCAAAGATTTGCAAGAGGTGGGTGGTTCCGAGTCCCTTGTACAGTATGGCTACCATCATGCAAGAGGACTTCTTTACAGGGAGGTCCACAACAAATGAGACCAAATCCAGAAGCTCTCGGGGTTCTTCACATACTCATCTGGCTGCATTTAGGGGACGCCTAAATCATAGCTGCGCGCATGCTGGGCTTCTTGCACATGGCTCCAGGGTTCTGTAGGATTTGGGGTTTACGTTTTGGGGTTTAGGGTATGTGTAAATGCACATTTCTGTGACAACAGGCACTGCGTATGTATGCTTCAATGAGTTACTCTGTACGTGTTAGAAGTCGCTCTTTGTCCAAATGTTCACTGAACGGCAGGTTAAAGCACGCTTGCGCCACACGTCTGCAAAGGACAAAAAATGACTTGATAATCCCCACCACCACCACTCAAGCACACTTTCACACCCCCCTTTCTGACTTGCCTGGAACTGAAGAGACGGACTCTCAGACTGGGCATCATCACCATCACCATCACCATCATCATCAGCATCACCATTTCGCACCATCACCCAAGATGCAACGAAACAAATGCGCCGACTTGTGCCAGACACCAGGAACGGCACAAGGGAAAACAGATGAGATGATGCGAACAAGGTGGCAAGGGTGCTAGGAACGGTGCGGCGCAGCGCGAATGAGACGGAAGATGCACGAAAAAGGGAACTCCCCCCAACAGATCCCAGGTCGGTTTTAACCGGGTCGGGAAGTCTTCGTTGGCTCCCCACTCCTCCTGGTCCCCTGCATGCAGGTGTGACCCCAATTCCCGCCTGCACAGAAAGTACCACACACGCACGCAAAGCGTGAAGAAGACCCAAAACCCTAATGAGCAAAAGCCCCTGTGAGCCCCTGAAAGCCCCTATAAGCCCCCACAAGGCCCAAAACGCCCCCCCCGAAGCTCCTAAACGCGCTCTGAAGTCGAAATCCCAGGGCCGAGTGGCAAAGCCAATATAGAATTGGAAGACTTGCACCCACACCACGCCGGCAGTGCCTAACGGGCCTGCGGCCTCCCCCCAATCCTCGAAGGCTTCAGGGGGACCCCCTTCGGGTTTGGGGTTTAGCGTTTAAAAGGTCCATGTACCTCATGATGACATACTTGGGCCCCAAAGGAGGCCCACATATTCCCTAGTTAGGTACATGGACCCCTCTAGGGGCGTTTAAAGGGGTTCGGAAACCCTAAACCCTAAACCCTAAACCCTAAACCCTAAACCGCGTGGAGGGGGGGCCGTGAGGCCTGGCCTCCTGGGCTTTGGGAATTTGAGTTCTGGGGAAGGCCTCCAGTTTATATAGGGACCTGAATATACCACTAGTAATTCTTCCGACCCCTATATTACCTGCGCCATGTGTGGCGTTTGGGTGTGCTGGCAGGCCCTCGGCAATGCGCTGCACCATCTAGTCTTTCGTTCGTGACACAAGTATCCTAGACCCGGGAGTAAACTACATAGGAAGAAAAAGGGTGCCCTTTTCGGCTTGAAGGCGATTATAAGGGAACCCCAACCCTAAAAAAAGGGAAAAAGGGCCGACTCCCGGTCCCAGTATGGTTGTCAAAGAATGTCCAAGGCTCGAGTCCACCTAAGATGGACCGGTAGAGCGTTGTTACAGCAGCATCCACAGACCCAAAATACATGTCCAACTTCGCATCCACCACGCCGTCAGAGGCGACTACATGGTCCAAGGCTGCGCTAGAGAAGAGCAGGCCGAAGACGTAGATGATCAATGCAAGCAGAATGAGAGCCCACAGCAAAGACTTGGTGGCGTCGTACATGGAATACACCAGGATCCGGAGGCCGCTCACATAGCGCACGATGCGCAGAGAACGGAGGCCCTGAAGAATCCGCGTGAACTTGAAGACCCTTACGATCCGTACCTTGGCGCGAGCACTTGACATTCAACTCCTCTGCTGGTCCTTCGGCTGTGACGTCCGATCTCCGTCAACCCTAAACCCGAAGCCCCTGAAGTTGGGTTCTTGTTAAGGAACTTAAGCACAGTGACCAGAACAAGAACCCCATACGATTACCCTAAGCCTGCCTAGGATGCCCAGTGACCTAGGATGAAAAGGGGTGCCCACTTTTGCAAAAAGGGGTTTATAAGGGTGCCCACCCCAAAAAAAGGAATAAGGGCACCACGGGGAATCTTAGCTACTCTTCTAACTTGGCTTACCCTCAGGGTGTGTGTACCTCATTCTTGTCTACTTGGGCCCCAAAGTCCTTATACAGAAAATACTTTGACCTAACGGCCCATGGTTCCAACATTAGATTCGGGGCCCCACGTAGTCTACTGTTTGCTTAAGAACCCCCCAAAAAACATAAAATAATCATCCTATATATTACCCTCATAAGGAAGAAACTTTTTTATTTTTTGTTGGGGGGTTCTTAAGCAATTGGAGTATTCCCTATCTAGGTACGTGGACCCTTAGGGTTCTGGTCCTTAACAAGAGCCCGGGGGAAGCCTCTTCCATGAGTGGGCCTCGACAAGCCCCAAGGCCGGGAACTTAGGGCTTAGGGTTTAGGGTTTAGGGTTTAGGGGTTTGCCAAGGCTTGCGATCCGTAATCTTTTTCGGGGCGCACTACGCTCGAAAGCCCTGCAGCCTTTCTGAACGCCTGAAAAAAAATACCTCATACAGCCTCATGTGCCGCCTCAGTTCTCTAGGACAGAAAACCTCTGCTTCCAAAGCCCAGCCATGTGGACCCTTTTGTGGCGATTGGGGGCTCATGGAGTTAGGGTTTGGGGATTTCGGGCCCCTAAACCCTAAACCCTAAACCCTAAACCCTAAACCCTAAACCCTAAACCCTAAACCCTAAGCCCTAAGCCCTAAACCCTAAACCTTCCCACTATCAGAACAGAACTCCGTCTGAAGAAAGAGCCCAGCGTCACTGGTGTTCGAGGAAGGCGAACTCATCATCGCTTGCAGGTCCAGGTAAAGCTCCTCAGTTGTGCTGCATATGGGAGAGACGGCGTGTGGGGGTTGGCCTGAATCCTGGGTCCGTTTTAATTTGGGTCTCAATGATAGTGCATCTCTTCTACTTTACCAGAAAGGGACCGATCATTCTGAGCATCTACGTGGAGGTTCATGGTTAGTTAAGGTGGGGTTATAAGGACCGTAAACGAGGTTACAACCAGATATAATCTCAGTTACCCCACGTGCAACCCTACTTAACTTATTAAACCCCTAAACCCTAAACCCTAAACCCTAAACCCTAAACCCTAAACCCTAAACCCCTACACCCCTAAACCCTAAACCCTAAACCCTAAACCCACCTATAAACCTCCAGGTAGGGCTTACAGCAGCCTCATGGGGCTCGAGATGCACCCGCCCTAGTTCTGGCTCTCTGAAGCCCCAAACAACCCTACCCTCAGGGTCTAGGAGTTAGGGTTTATAAGGTTTAGGGTTCACTTGGTTTAGAGGGTTTAGGGTTTAAGGTTTAGGGTTCACTCGGTTTAGAGGGTTTTAGGGTTCAGGGTTTGGGGGAGTGGTTTAGGGGTTTTAGAGTTTCGGGGCCGTCTTCTAGAAGCTCTCGCTTGTTGGGAAAAAGGCGCAATCCATGCGGAGACGACGACCAGGACATCCAACCATCCCCATGCCCAGCCGCTGGAGCAAAGGAATTTTTTGAAGCCGAAGCCCAACAAATTCAGGACGACTTCAAAGGTGAAGATGACCTGGGGGGAGGGGTGGGGGGGGGGGGGGGGGGGGGGGGGGGGGGGGGGGGGGGGGGGGGGGGGTGGTGGGGCAGAGGGAGGTTCCAAGATAGCGTTCCCTGGAAGAACTGCCCTTTCCAGCTCCTCTTATAAACCCTAAACCCTAAACCCCGAACCCTAAAGGTTCTTCTACCCCCTTCCCCTCAAAGGTGGAGGACCCTAAGCGAGAGTAACTCACAGGTCATGGGCAAGGCCAGTTTCCTCAAAATATCTAGGGTTTAGGGTTTAGGGTTTTAGGGTTTAGGGTTTAGGGTTTAGGGTTTAGGGCAAGCACCATTTTGTTTCTTCAAGGGTCTCGCGTTTCGGGGATAACCTAACTTAACACACTCAGTGAGAATGTGGAATCGCTGTGAAGCTTCTTGTAAGGCCCTACTTTTGAAACAAGGCATCTATGAGAGAACTACTTAGGGCAACCTCCGAAACACTGTAGGGAAACCCTTTAGTATTTCTGCCAACATGGCAGCCCAACATGTTTTTAAGACTGAACTACTGGCGACGTAAATCTATGTGGGCAAATAAACCCTAAGGGTCCATGCACTGCATGATTACAGACTTTGGCCCCATGAGTCCCTACAAAGGAAGTACTATAAGCTATAAGTACTTTAAGGCCTCAGTATTCCCTGCTCAGGTACATGGACCCTTAGGGACATGCAGAACAAGCGGCGGCGTACAAAGTATGGACGACGGTGAAGCCCGGATCGATCAGGTTCGCTGGATGCGCAGACATCCACTGAATCCTTGGTAGCCCAGCAACCATATCATAATAAGGGCCACCCTTTTGGGGGTTGGTTATTCAACAAAGGAGCCCAGAAGCAAAAAAAAGGGAAAGGGTACCATGGGGCTACCAAGAAGCTGTGCTCCGATGTACAGCGCATTGGAAACAAGTACCTGGTGACGTCAAACTTTTAGAGCCCCAGGGCCCTCCTAGAAAACCCTACAGCCTAAAGCCATAGATCATCTAGCCCAAAAGGTCAGGTCAGCGTATACTTTATGAACCTATGATGTTGCGGATTACAGCGGATCTTAAAGGATTGAAGATGTCGGGGCTTGATGGCTCGGGGGTGAATTACAATACCGGGTTTTTGTCGTTGGGGGGCGTAGCATATCGTACTTCCAGGACCAAAGTCCCTTCCTTCCTTAGGCCCCCTAAACCCGCTAATCGTTCGAGGGGTTGTGGCTAGAAGGGTCGATGGTGTGCCAAGGTGCCATCGCGAAAAACATCTCGAAGCGTGGCGACTTCAGCATACGTACAACCTTGTGTTGGAAACGGTCGAAGCCTGGACAAAGCCGTTGTACCCAAGCGCTGTGCGCATCTGGCGACATGCTCTCCGTATACAGCTTCCTGGCTTGCTATTGAGGACCCAGTTCCCAGAGTTATCAACTGGAACCAACCCCTAAACCCTAAGCCCTAAGCCCTAAACCCACGAAAAACCTATGCTTAAGATTGCCTGCAGGGAAACCAACCCCTAAACCCTAGACCCTGAACCCACCAAAAACGTATGTAGGGTGTTGGGTGTAGGGTGTAGGGTGTAGGTTGTAGGGTGTAGGGTGTAGGGTGTAGGGTTTAGGGTTTAGGGTTTAGGGTTTAGGGTTTAGGGTGCCTGCAGCCCTACTTTGGAGTACACCCTGGAAACAGTACGTAATTTGTAGCAGCTAGAATAGGAACCCAGAACCAACAAAAAGCATTAAAGTAGAGTCTCCCAAACCAAGGCAAGGGTCCTGTCAGCTAGAATACCTAAACCCTAAACCCTAAACCCTAAGCCCTAAGCCCTAAACCCTAAACCCTAAACCCTAAGCCCTAAACCCTAAACCCTAAACCCTAAACCACAAACCAACAAAAAAGTATAGCACCCCAAAACCCAGGCAAGTGTCTTGTATACTTCGAGTCTTGAGCCCTCCTTCTTGGCGAGGTCGTAGCTCGACTCGGAGCGCTCGCGGTTGGGCTTGGCCTCCAGAGCTGCTAGGGTTTAGGGTTTTGGGTTTTGGGTTTAGGGTTTAGGGTTTAGGGTTCAGGGTCAAGGGTTGAGGGTTGAGGGTTGAGGGTTTGGGGTTTAGCGTTTAGGGTTTAATTCAGGTTTGGGGTTTAGGGTGTAGGGACTTGGGGTCCAGGGTTTAGCAACCACCAACATTTACGCGCGTGCATGGAGCGATGCCGTCAAAACATCATGGCAACCGAGCACAGTAATTATACGCGGTAGGGGATCCCTTTGTGAAGGCACGCTCTTTATGCTTCCGGGGGTCATGGATGCAAAAGCCCACTTCCGGTAAGAAGAACAGTCAAGGAAGTGAGGCAAGGCGCTGGTCTAGTAGCCTAATCCCCCCTCCTTGACACGCCCGACCCGCATCCCTCTCCCAGAAGTTATAAAAAAAAAAAAAAACTGCTACTGGAAATGTCAGAAATACTTAGCTTGCGCCCCCACACGTTCATAGTGAAGAGGGGGGATTCTCTGCATGTATACATATGAGAGATCCCGGTTTCGGGGGGGCGGGGGGGGTGGCTTTGTCTGGACTTGGCCGGGGGGGAGGGGGGGGTGGCTTTGTCAGGATCTAACATACATATCCACGTACATGTCTATATGGTTTAAATTACGGTGTGGTATATATGTATGCATATCCTTGCAAAAACAGACAAGCATACTAACCCTAAACCCGAAACCCTACACCCTAAACCCTAAACCCTAAGCCTTAAACCCTAAACCCTACAGTACTGCGCTGTCCAGGTCCTCATGTTTCCTGATTCAACTACTCTGTTCGTGGGAGAGAGAGTGTGTCTTGGCTACATGCCTCACCCTTCGGCACGACTTGGATGCGTAGCCGACGGGGTCTAGGGTTCAAGGTTCGAGGGTTTAGGGGTCAGGGGTTTAGGGTTTATGGTTTGGGGGTTTAGGGAACATTATGAAAAAAAGCAGGTCTCTAAACAGGGGCCTCCGGTGCTTAAATCAGAGGTGTCCGAATACAAGCTGCTTCACGAATGTTGCACGGCTTCTAGTACATGCAGGGTCTATAGTCACAAGTTTCGAACATCAGTTTGTTGGGGTGACCCGCTATTAGCACAAGTCATTTTTCAGCACGGTTGTGTTTTTAACAAGGGTTTGTGCATTCGAGTTTAGGGCTTAGAAGCAAGGCTTGAAGCCCTGAGGGCCTTGGGCTCCAGGAAGCAAAAAGAGCCAGAGCCCGGAGAATCCAGTAAACTAAGCCCGGCCAGCTCCATGTAAAGCCTTATTGAATTAATTTCATTGCTACGCAAAGCCGCAAACACATTTTGTGATAGGTAGTCCGCGGCCGCCCCCCCCTCCCCCCCCCAAAAAAAACAGGGGGGGGGGGGGGTCCTGTGACATGTTCTTACCCAGGGTGCAAGTGTCCATGTTCGGTTTTTCTACAGTTCTACAGATCACCGGGCTTGGGTGTGCTCTTGTTTTTGCCACCATGGTATGCGCCGAGCGATTGGTGATATGGTCATGAAGGCTCGCCCCAAATCGTATGGATGGTTTTTCAGGATATTGGGTCCCCCCGTTTGCGGGAATTATAGCCTTTGTGGAGATCTTTTCTGGAGTGGGAAGCCTGAGTCATTGCAATCTGGGTTTATTATGTGTTGTTGCAGCAGCTTTGGGATTATTCAAGGTTCATGATGCAAATTGCTTCGGAAACCTGACATTTGCCATGTTTGCTGCCTGAAGATTCACGGCTGGATTCAAGACGGCCCCTGCTTCGACAAGACAAGTCGCCCCTGGATGGATATCCCCACATATGAAGGCAAAGAACGGGGCAACTTGACATTCCCCATGGGGCCTATATATACCCTTTAAGGAATTATATTGCCAGCCTCCTGAATCACGAATCCTATATTCGGGGAATTTGGCCACAATGAAAAGGTGATAAAAGCGTACGGCGGGGGATCCCAGAGACCCTAAACTCGAAACACACCTCTGTCCTGCTCCGAAACGTCCTCGGTCAGGCTGTCGTCGTTGCTACTCGCCTCTCGGGACTTCTCGCAGGGATCGCCCTCGACCTCCAACTTCTCGGCCTCCGACTCGTGCAAGGCTAGAGACTGAGATGCCTCGCCATCGGCCTGGGTGCAGGGCTTTGCTTTGCTGGGGGGTTTCCTGGGTAAAGTTCCCAGAGGTTCCTCTTTGTAAGAAAAAAACTGCTGGCGCCCAGGTGCATGACGTCCATGCCCGTCGCCGTGATGACGGTGATGGTGATGGTGATGATGATCATGTGGATGATGATGGTGGTGATGCTGATGCTCAGCATGCATCGACTCGAACTCATCGACACAAAGCCGGTTCTCGAGCGTCGCCAGCCACTCGTCCTGAGCTCATAACAGGGTTTAGCGTTTAGGGTTTAGGGGTTTAGGGGGGTTTAGGGTTTACAATACGCATCGGCTACGGCCAACACAACCAACAAAACAAAACGTGCGCTGACGCACCTCCGAGCTAAACATGTCTACGCGTCGAGGCGGTTCATGAACTGCTCATGGCTCTTCTTCACCGCTTCTTCAACCAGTTGAGAAACTTGGGTCTCCATGTCCAGCAATCGGCGTTCTTTTGAGCTTTTGAAGCTGCGCAGGACAAGGCGTGTTGGGCTTCGGTTTGGCATGTTCGCCCTGGAGTGCGGTGGCAGCTCATTCTATCACATTGTAGTGATGCTATGTGGGATAGGCTTAGGTAAGGATTTGGGGCACACTTCACAAGTCCTTCGTGATCTCTCCATAACATGCCTACAGAAGCTCATGCGGGATCGACCGCAATGACTGTGGCAAAAGATGTCGCTTTTTGGTCTCGAGCTGCTCAGGAGTCCCTCAACGCCCTTGGCAGATCAGGTAGCCTTAGTGGCAAGTTCTTCACTTGGCAAGCCCTCGCATGACAACTCAGCGACCAACAACAGGTCTCGTAGCTTCTTGGCGGTGTCATGGACACTATACCCTAAACCCTAAACCCTAAACCCTATAACCCTATAACCCCATAACCCTAAACCCTAAACCCTAAACCCTAAACTGCCTGCAAAGGCACGAAGTCCTGGTCCCATCCGCTCTCATCATCTTCGTACTCAATCTGGTGTGGCATGTCATCCTGTGCCAGGGTCTGCTACCTTCAGAGCGGGTTTAGGGTTTAGGGTTTAGGGGTAGACCCTGGAAGGAAAGTATATACTTTTTAGGTATAAGCAGCTTTTAAAGGAACCCAGAACCAAAACCAGGAGAAAGTGTCGTGCTCCAAAACCCAGTAAAACGAACTCTCAACCAAACCTAAAACCTTCCGGACGCCGCCTTCCGCGCCACGAAATTGGCCAGATCCTTCTTGCCTGAGCATGTCGGTAGCTGAGTTCGGAAACGAAAGGGGACATGACGTGCCCTCCAAAAGGATTACGACAGGCACCTGGTTACTAAACCCTAAACCCGAAACCCTAGACCCTAACTCCTAACCCCTAACCCCTAACCCTAAACCCTAAACCCTAAACCCCAAACCCCAAAGCCCTCTGTGGGCTGCTCTGTCTATGGCTTTGGTTGAGGCTAGAGGTTTGGGGGTCCGCTCGGGGTGGCAATCTCAGGTCGCTGTAGGGTTTAGGGTTTAGGGTTTAGGGTTTAGGGTTTAGGGTTTAGGGCTTAGCCCATCCCGATTGGGTAAAGCTCATCTTCGATACCACCGTGCTGCAGCAATGATGTGTATCCCTTCGTACCTCTGCCCTCTAACTCCACCGGAAATCATGCTCACCTCCGGAAAAAAAACTCACGGCAGTCGCACGCAAAATTGCGGGCGAGCGGCTTTTGACGATCGGCTTGTATGGTGCATCTAGCTTCTGGCTTTCCTAAGTTGCCGAGCGCATAGCTGCCAGTTGGCCGGGATAGAATAACAAGAAACGATTAAACCAAAAGTGTTCTGCTGCGGACAGCCTCGTCTCTAGGGCATCTCTCTAAGAACACCATACCCCAAACCCATACCCCCTTAACTTATAAAAGGAGGATATAAGGGAGTCTGAGGGAGGATTTTGCCATACCCCCCCCCCCCCCCCCCCCCAAAAAAAAAAAAAAAATCTTTTTGAGGGTATGCCCAAGGGGTATGTTGAATATTTCTTAGAATCTTGGGATAGACTTCGGCTTAGTTCACATTGGCCCGCAGCACATTCTACGCAAGCTGCCTAAAAGGGAGAAAATGTCACAAAAACAATGCACTTCTGGCCGAGAATCCATGCCTTCCCAATTGAAGCCAGCATACCATTTGTGATCCTTGACATTCTGGATTGCACCTGGCCGCATCGGTAGGCGTTCGCTCGGCTCCTTTTTCAGCAGACCTGGCAGGGAAGACCCCTCCGCCAATATTAATTAAACCACCCCCCTACCCCCTAATATTAAATCCCTCTCCCAGATATACTCTAATAGAACTAGAATAGGGTATTTACTATTCGTGTAACATTAGGGGAGGGGATGACACCGTGCAGCAGACAGAGAGCCCTTCTGACGTGGGAATTTGGTGGTGAAGCTCCTCCCCAGCTTACCCATCTCAGTAGGAGGAGTGGGGCTAGACAGCTACCGTACTCCGTGCTCTTTGGCGCCCTGCAGGCGTCCTGCATCTCTTAGTCATACACACCCCTGTGTCCCTAAACCCTAAACCCTAAACCCTAAACCCTAAACCCTAAACCCTAAACCCTAAACCCTAAACCCAACAAAGTCGCATGTTCGACGAAAAACCGTAAAAAGCCCTTCTTTGGGTTCGCTACTTTACAAGGAAACCCAGATTCAAGGGAAAGGGGAAAAGGGCACCACTGGGCTACCTTGTATTATATCCTATTGTATGTTTGGCAGTATTTTGGATTGTATGATATGAACCGTTATATGGTATTATATTGTATTCTACTACTTCTAGTACTGGTATACTAAAAAATAATAATCGAATAATAATAATAAAAATAAATAATAATTATATATATATGTGTGTGCAAGTATATTCTGTATGTACACATTGTTTGTGCCCTCCGAGCCGTGGGCCTTTGATCAGGTCGCCGATGGCCCCTTGACACTTGGGTGGCATCTTCACCTTGCTGATCCCTTTCCTGGCTTGGGGTTCAGGGTCTGGGGTTTAGGGTTTAGGGCTTAGGGCTTAGGGCTTAGGGCTTGGGGGTTTGGAGCGGCTTAGGGCTTGGGGGGTTTATGGGGCTTAGGGTTAAGGGCTTGGGGGTTTAGGGGGCTTAGGGTTTAGGACTTCTCGGGGTTTAGGACTTTAGATGCTTCGGGTTCGGGCTCGGGGTCTTGGAGGCCAAGGGTTGCGGGGATTGCTTGTCGCAGGCTTGGGAGGTCAGCGCCGCATCGTGGCTGGCAAGTTTTTCGGGAGGGAGTGTGTGATCCTTGAAGGTTGAGATGTTCCGCCCTCACAGTCCTTCATGGGGATGACAATGTTGGGTACTAAAATCCCGACTGAGGACTGCTAGGATAAGGGGGAACATCCCAACTTGAAGGGGCAAAGCTGGGGCACCAACATCCATAGCACTACAATGGACCCTAAACCCTAAACCCTAAACCCTAAACCCCAAACCCCAAACCCTAAACCCTCATAGCTCTCCTAACCTCTAAACCGAAAGGATGCCCCACAACCAACCCTACTTGAAGGTTCATGTGTAGCGATAAGCAGTAGGGTTATCAGTACCCCTACTAAGGCTACTGTCCAGCCCATTAAACTTCGAGTTGCCCTACTTATAACCCATGAACCTCCAAGTACCGGTTAGGGTTTAGGGTTTAGGGTTTAGGGTTTAGGGTTTAGGGTTTAGGGTGGAGTCTACACTTTGGGGCCGGGAGGGCCCTCTGAACCCTGTATAGGTCAGTTCCTGGTCTCTGTGTTAGGGTGGTGGGGTGGGGGGGGGGGTGCAGAGGGACACAGAAACTCCAAATGCCCTTAATAGGGGAATTTTCCTACTGAAGTAGATTTAAGGATCCGAATCTGTGGAAGAGGGCGTCCGGGGACCGAAAGACGCAAAAGAAGCGCTGGAGGACAAATCGCGAGCGCATGGGGACGGGAGAGAAATTTGCGGCTGAGCAGCATGACTTTTGAGTACGTCTCCACAGGTGTCGGCGATTCGAAAGGAGGATGACCAGCCATGAACTCGAAAAGCAGGATTCCAAGCGTCCACCAATCCACCGCAATCCTTGAGTTCTTAATTTGCGGTTTGGGGGCAGGCAGCCCTATGCCACGTTTGCTTCCCTATGCTTCGAATGTGCTTCGACATGACATCAGACAGAAGCTCACGTAGGGTGGGGGCCCACCTTAAGCCCAAAAGTAGACACACCAACAAACCTCAAGCCGGAGGAATACAGATTGCTAAGATCCTACTTTTGACGGGAAGTTTCGGGATGCGCTCCCTTACCAGAACTCGATCCAATGGGAAAAAGGCCTGATCACGAAACTCGCCGTTGGATAGGTGCTGCACAACAACTCATGACGTGTCCCTACTATGATGACGACTGCTGCGACTACGACTACGACTGCGACTAGGACTACGACGACGACAAGTAGAAGTAGTAGTAGTAGTAGTAGTAGTAGTAGTAGTAGTAGTAGTAGTAGTAGTAGTAGTAGTAGTAGTAGTAGTAGTAGTAGTAGTAGGAGTAGGAGTAGTAGGAGTAGGAGTAGTAGTAGTAGTACTACTACTACTCCTACTCCTACTACTCCTACTACTACTACTACTACTACTACTACTACTACTACTACTACTACTACTACTACTACTACTACTACTACTACTACTACTATACTACTAGTACTACTACTACTACGACGACGACTACTACTACTACTAGTACTAGTACTAGTACTAGTACTAGTACTGGTAGTACTGGTAGTAGCAGTAGTAGTAGTAGTAGTAGTACTACTACTACTACTACTAATACTACTACTATTACTATGACGACGACGACGACGACCACGACGACCACGACGACCACGACGAACAACGATGAACCACGACGAACCACTACGAACCACTACGAACCACTACGAACCACGACCACCACCACCACCACGACGACGACGACGACTACTACTACTACTCCTCCTGCTGCTGCTGCTACCACTACCACTACCACTACCACTACCACTACCACTACCACTACCACTACCACTACCACTACCACTACCACTACGACGACGACGACGACGACTACTACTACTACTACTACTACTACTACTACTACTACTACTAATACTACTACTACTCCTGCTGCTACTGCTGCTACTGCTGCTAGTGCTGCTAGTGCTGCTAGTGCTGCTACTGCTGCTGCTGCTGCTACTGCTGCTACTGCTGCTACTGCTACTGCTGCTACTACTGCTACTGCTGCTACTGCTACTGCTATTGCTACTACTACTGCTACTGCTACTACCACCACGACTACTACTACTACTACCACAACCACAACCAGTACCGGTACCAGTACCACTACCACTACCCCGACACAAGTATCTCACACCGAATGCATCCACGCATCGTGTGCCCAGTCGAGGAAATAAGCTCCTGGTGTGCTGGCGAACACCAAGGCATGTTTGACACTGAGGGTGTCGACTGTATTTGGATTTGGAGAAACATGCGTAGCTTTTGTTTTTGCAGGGAGGAGGTGGAATCCCAACCCTAAACCCTAAACCCTGAACGCTTGGGCGAACCTGTGGAGTGGTGGTGGGGTTCTGGGATGGTTTGTTTAGGCTTCAGGTTTAGGGGTTAGAGATTTTAGGGCTCGGGTTCGGGGTTTTAGCTTTTAGGTTGGGGTTTAGAGGGTTTATAGGTCTTGTAGGGCTTGTCGTGCTCACAGGCCTTATAGGGTTCAAAAAGGCTCAATGGGGGTTTCATAGGGCTTGATTGGGGATTCATGGGGCATGTAGGACTCAAGGGTTGGAGGCTTAGAGCTCAAGGGCTTAGAGGGTTCATGGCGTATGGGGGTTTGCGAACATAGGGAATCCTAAAATCACCCCCAAGTAGGATCCCCTGAAAAAAAGGGACCCCAACAAGGTACCCCATCGTAAACCCCATGTAGGGCTTGCGCGTATGGCTGGGGTTTTGGGGTTTGAGGGTTGAGTATGTTAAGGTTCAAAAAAATGCGGAGGGGAGGCCTCCAAACGACCCGGTGCACCAATCCCCAGGCGACAGCAGCCTTTTAGCCTTCTAGTGCTGTCGAGGGGCTGGAGCAAAGTAGTCCGGAGTCCCACAGGTCGTGAACGTCTTCCCAACCACGAACTTCGCAAGTCCCATGTCCTGACTAGACGTGGTTTCGGGTTTGCAGCAAGTAGCGGATTCTAAGCCCCTGTACAATCCAGACAAGGTTCCTAAGGGCCGCGCTCTAGAGTTTAGGATATTTAGGGTTTAGGGTTTAGGGCTTAGGAAGCTTGATGGATCACAACGCACAGCATAACATATACATGACTCAAGCAAGCATTTCTGCGTGACTGAAACTTCTGTTCTCTTGGCGACACCAACTACACCATCACGACAACACCAAAAGCAAACGCACGCGCGCACAGAGAGAGAGAGAGAGCGAAAAAACCCTGGTGAACATCGCAAGCAATGAACAAGACAAAAAACAAACCACACAGAAATAAACAATGATGACAATAGCAATAATAAGCAACACAAGAAGCAACCTGAGTTATAGTCACTATAGTCATACATATATATATATATATACATATATACATATGCATATACAACAGGGTTGCCAAGTCTTATTAGGGAAGTGTAAGATCCCTGTCCACGAAAGATATTGGACATGGACAGCAATATGACCCCGAAAACTGGCCGATGGTATGATTTCGTATCAGCCAACGTTCAAGCATTTGACCCGCATCTTCGTCTTTTGCGCATTTCGCATCTCAGTTACGACAAGGTATGCAAAGCTAGCAACACTGCCGCCTACTTCGTATAGCTTGCTTCATACGTGTGTTCATCATGCATTACTATGCCGTGATCCCACCGTGTGTTGAGTTTCTTCATGCAAGCTGATGCTTTTGTGACAGGGGGGGAAGAAGGAGTGGGGCCTTCATGATAAGGATTGCCCTAAATCCTAAACCCTAAACCCTTAACCCTAAACCCTAAACCCTCTACTTGTAAGTCGGATTGAGCCACCTTCAGCTTCAAAAACACTCATGGGCCCTGAACTCCTAAACACAAAGGGTTTTCCGCGGCAAGCAAGGACAGAAGGAGCCCCCTTCTGCCTGTTGAGGTTTTTGAGCAACAAAATCGCCCAAAACCCTGAACCCTAAACCCTTAACCCTAAACCCCAAGTCCTGAACCCTAAGCCCTAAACCCTAACCCCTTTAACCCTCTAACATCAGCTCTGAGGCTCCGTGAGCTTCAGCTGCCCCGCCTCATTGAGCAGCAGATTCTCTGGCTTCCTGGGGAAGCGCGGGCTTTTCGCTTTTCGCGCACCACATGTGCGGTAGTCGTTCTCGTCGGTGTCTTAATATTCGTCATCGTGGTGGGAATGGTGGTGGTAGTGGTGGTAGTTGTGGTAGTGGTCGTGGTAGTAGTGGTAGTAGTGGTAGTAGTGGTGGTAGTGGTGGTAGTAGTAATAGTAGCAGTAGTAGCAACAGTAGCAAAAGTTTTATCACTTTCCTTTGGCGGACCCGTCGCGAGACTTTCGTGGACATCTTAAGACCGTTCTATACGAAACCAAATAGACCCTTTAGAGCAGCCGAGGAGCAGGTCCCGATAGATGATGCGCCGGTCGTGCATGTGAGCTAGCGCGCAGACTGTGCCTGGATGGAGGGACCACGCAAACAATGCGCTCACCTGTAGCTTGCCAAAGACAGCAGGTCCAAAAAAGCCGTGATGTTGCTACATTCGTATCTCATTCTAAGCCTTTTAATCCAGAAGCCAGCTCCTGAATCAACCCCTGCCTGCCACGTAGAACTTGGCATGCTTCTCGCTCCTGGCGCTTCGTTTCTTGGGGATATGCGGGGGGGGTGGCTATACGTGGCGCGGCCGTGTTGCTTCAGCAGCGCTTAGTGGCTCACACTAGATCTTGGGAGGATCTGAGTGGCACACACAGACTGAGGACGAGACCCATGCAGACCTTTCCGGTTGTAGGTGGCATAAAGCTCACCCCCCAGAGCTGCTTCAAGCAGGAAGTACAGGGTCTGGCTACCATTGAAGCATTCCTTGGTGATGTCAGCCGGGACAGAACGTGCTGTCCTCTACATGCGCTGTCCACATATATATATGTATATATATATTTTTTATTTATTTATGTGTATACACATATATGTACATGAGCGTATGTAGCAAGCAGCCTAGGCACGAACAGCTTGATGATGAAGAAAGAATTCGTCATCATGAGAATGCTCTTCTCATTCAAGATGCTCTGCTGCATGCCTCCGCTGCTCACCAAGGCCCACAACATCGTTGCCGATGATCATGCCATTCGAGCTCAGCCCGCGGCCCAACTTAACAATGTAGCCTTTCGAGATGCACTTCATGGCATAGGTTTCCTTCGTGTCCCTGCGAGGGGCAGAGGACGCCAGGGCACAAACTCGCAAACGCAGCAGCAGGATCGTAAACACCAAGCACTACAAGCCCTTCAAAAAAAAAGAGGAGCTCTCAACCTTAAAAAATCCCAATCCTCCAAACGCAGAAGCACTCAAGCAAACAGGGCGCCTGTGTTCCCACAGCTCCACGGACGCGAAACCACCACAGCCCAAGAGGCCAACCCGAACCAAGTCCTCGAAGTTGCCAGGGGCTTGGGGGCTTGGGGGCTTAGGGTTTCGACTCTCGCACTCGCACACGGACGGTTTAGGGTTTAGGGTTTGGGGTTTGGGGTTGGAATTTAGAGTTTGGGGTTTAGGTTTTGGGGCTTGGGGCTTGGGGCTTGGGGCTTGGGGCCTGGGGCTTGGGGTTTGGGGGGTTGCTGGGGCAGTTAGGATTTAGCGATTATAGGGTTTACAGGGTTCTTATTGAAAAACCCTCGTAAACGAGGCATACAAGTTATCTGCAAAGGCAAATGTACAGGACCCTGTGTACGGAATCCCACTGCAGAAGGTATATACTTGCACGTGTGAGCCATGTGTGGAGTTTAGGGTTTAGGGAGTTTTCAGTCTGGGGTTTAGGGTTTTAAAAGGTTGAGGGTGCTGGAGACGAACAGCTCGGGGTTTGGGGTGGAAACCCCTGCAAGGTGCCTTGGACCTTTATTCCTTTTACGGGGCCCTTTTGGGCTGCGTGGTGCAGCCTGATGAATCGGAGGCCTGCACCCCTTTTCGATGTTACATGTCTGGGGCTGAACCCCATATCCTTAACCCCACAGAAGCTACGCAGCCACGGCAACAATCGGATAATCCAGGGTTTAGGGTTTAGGGTTTAGGTTTTAAGGATTAGACCCGAACTGTTTCCAAGAGGTTTCGGACAATCCGGGCTAGCGGAGTCCTTGCGTTGGATCCTGTCTTGTTTCCGCCTCTTTTCCGTCCCAGGAGCGCCTCGTCCACGAGAGCGAGAGAGAGGCACGCACATGTATAAATATATATATATATAGAGTACATATATATATATGTGCATATATTGTAAATAAATAAATATATATATATATGTATATATGTGTATACATGTACTTGTATTATGTATATCACACACAGACACGCATACATACACATGTTATACAGATACAAGGTGCAAGGGGCTTGCCAGTATCCAATGCTTTCGGGCTTGGGTCTCGCAGCCTTGTGGGGCTTTATTTGTACAGGGTGGGCCCTCAAGAGCACAATGCGATCCACAAACTCCTCTTGATCGGCGTTCGGATTGAACCGGCAGTCACAGAAGCCAAGCAGCTTGCCTTTGCCAAGCATCGAGGATCGTTTGTGACCCTCCTCCTGCGCTTTGATGATGTCCTGCTGGGGAGTTTAAGGCTTTGGCGACTTAAGGGCACATTCCGGGAACATTTCCAGCCATCAAAAGGAAGGGCCCGTCTCCGCGGAGCAAGCTCTCGTCCCCAAGGTCCTCTAGAGGCCCCAGGAGCAAATTGAAAGCCACCCGGTCCAGCACCTCGCGCATGCCGGGGCCCTGGTAATCTAGATAGACCCGGGAGTAACCTAGGACTACAAAGGGTGCCCTTTTTGGTTTTAAGGGGATGATTAGGGAACCCCGACCCTAAAAAAAGGAAACATGGCACCCAGCAGGAGGAACCTACCGTAGTTCCTAGGCCCCACCGAGTCAGCCCAGATTCAGGGCTTCACGGTCATCTGAGGGGTTTCCGAGTTCGGGGCACCTTCTTGAGGTTCCTGAATATACTAAACCCCCCCTACCCAAAGAGAAAAACGATAATGGGAGTATCTAATGTTGCAGAGTAACTAGGGAGGTTTTGCGCTTAGGGGGGGGGGGGGGGGGGAATACACATCTTGGCAAATCTGGGTGGCACTCGGATCGCAAGGCTTTCGCGCTGAAGCATGCCAGTAAAATCCCAAACCATACCAAGGATTGAAATGAACCCTACAAAGGGCCTTTTTAAGGGATTAAATACGGGGTGTAATAGCCCATCCTGGCAAGCAAATAGCCGAGTCTTCTCGATTGAATGCAGCCCTAGCCCCGAAAGACTGAAACCACCCGGCGCGCAGGCTGCCTGATAATATGCCCCTTCCCCTCCACCCGCTACGCCGCGCCCCCCTACCCCACCTTAGGACCTTTCCTGCCACCTTTGAACCAGAATGGAACCCTAAAGCATCCTAAAGCCCTATACGAAACATTCTTAAGCTAAGTCGAGCGCTCGATATTACGAAGCTAGGGTGCATTTGTCCGAAGCCTGCACATGCTGCCAAGGGACCAAGACCTTGGCCTCGTTGGACACCACCGTGATGGTGGCCGCCCGCGGCCTGGCGTTGTACGCTTTCGGGCTGAGATGGCCAAGGGTTTAGGGAGCTTAGGGGCCAGGAGGGTCCGTTTCACTGCTTGCGCTGGCAGATGTAAGGCCCCTTCAAGGCCGAAGCTTGCTTACAACCGGAAGAAACCGACTTTGTCCCCATCGGAACACTCACCCTTTGGTTATGTAACATCCCACCCCTAAACCCTAAACCCTAAACCCTGGGGGGGGGGGGGGGAGGCAGGGTCATGGGGTCATGGCCGCCACATCCTGGCGGAGGGCCTCCTGCTTCTGCTCAGCTCAAGCATAGCTTTGCTCTTTACTCGGGCCCAAGAGTCTCTACGCAGGAGGTACTTTAGGGCCCAAGCCCTAACCCTAAACCCTAAACCCTAAACCCTAAGCCCTAAACCCTAAGCCCTAAACCCTAAACCCTCCCCCCAAACCCTAAACCCTAAACCCTAACCCTAAATAGGAGGTACGTGGGCCCTTCGGGGAGCTGCTATGGCCACGGCAGCAGACAAGCACGTGCTGGCAGCACTCGTTGCTCATCAGGGCCCTTTCTCCGAAGAAATGGGCCGCCTTCGTGGACCTCGGGTTTAGGGTTTAGGGTTTAGGGTTTAGGGTTTTGAGTTTAGGGTTTAGGGCTTAGGGGCTGCCTTAGGAGCTTGGGAACCTCCTACCACTTGGGTCTAGGAATATCGGGAACCCTCCACCTGAAATCTAGAACCTTGACATCCAAAAACCTAAAGGCAGCTTCGGGTAGAACTCTGAACCCTCAACCCCGAAACCCAAACCCCAAACCCCAAACCCTAAACCCAAGCAGATGGTGTTCAACCCTTCGACAGCTTTGGGGCTTCGGATTCCCGGGGTAAAAGGCCAGGACTCTCAGCACTTGCTCAGGGCCTCAGTGTTTTAGCCCTCTACTGCTATCTGTTGGGATGTTCTCCCTCTTATACTAGCAGTCCTTGAGAAGGACTTTTTCATATAGTACTCCCTTTTATAATCCCGATTGAGGACTAACATCCCAAGCTATCTGTTTCAGAAGCCCCCTCCCCAAAAAAACAAACACACAAATAACAGTACTTATGATCATGAGAATTATCACGATTGCCTTGATACATAAGGAAGAATATACTTATATATATATATATATATATATGCATTAATGTTGGACTGGCTTTAGTGGATGGGACCACTATTATGCGATTTTCCGATCCGCTTATACAGAACCCCCATTGTTCAGGGGGGTTCACAATTATGCGATGTTGTCCCGGCCGGGGTTGAAGGGCGGGGGGCCGGGGAGCCAAGAACTAAAAAAAAATTGAATAAGAAACTCCGGGTTTTTTTGGTGTCCAGCCTTATTTAAATTCCTTTTAAATTCTCATTACGAAACAGGCCCCCAAACAATTTTCCAAGGGAGCAGCAGCCCACGAGCTGCCCTGATTCGCTTTAGCAAGTTGTTTCGGTGGTCCGCATTTATGCGGAGCCCCGGCGGCCGTGGAGCTACAAAGTCTGGAAAGCTTAGACCCTCAAGCTTCAAGGCTTCTCCTCAACCCGCGACCCCTAGCCGACGTACCCCCAGCCCCGTCCCAGCCCCAGCCCACATTATTAAGGATCCCCGAAAACCCCAAAATTGTTTGGGGGGGGGGGGGGCCTACGCACTAAAGCGAGTCCAACATTAATGTGTATACATATATATATATATATATGCATATGTTGTTGTTTGTCTGCTGGGGGTGGAGTGGGGTAATAGCAGTTTACAGTAGGATGTAGTGCCGTTGGTTCAACCCGCAGCTGCTAAGTGGATTCACCCACTCTGCAAAGCAGTCCTGTTTCAAGCCCCAGACACATAAAACCTTCTGGAGGCCCTACACCCTGAGCCCTAAACCTAAACCAAAAGCCAAAGAGAAACTATTGAAATCTGTGAACCCCAACCTAAACCAAAAACCAAAGAGAACTGTTGAAAGCTGCAACTGGGAGTTCAAAAGGCGGTAGTCACAAGGTCGGTAGAGACTTCTACTCAGCAACTCGGAGCGCGAAACCTGAGTCCTGTCCTAACCCCAGAACCTAGACCCTGGACCCTAGACCCTAAACCCTAAACCTAAAACCCGAAACCCCTTGGGGCCCCCCGGAACCCTTAAGGGTTTTTGTTGGGTTTGGGGCCGAGGTGCGCAGAGGCTTTCAGCTTCGTTTGCTTCTGGGCATCTTTCGTCACCTGAACCTCATGAAGGTTTAGGGTTTAGGGTTTAGGGTTTAGGGTTTCGGGTTTCGGGTTTCGGGTTTAGGGGGCTCCTAAATGCTGCTCGGGCATTGCTCAACACGAGGGTCCCCGCTTTTATTTCTTCTTTCTGGGGGGGGGGCGCTGGGGGCGGCGGGGGGGGGCCAGTCTGGGAACGCTACCCCTTTAACTAAAATAAGCACGACCCCCCCCCAAGAAAAGGGAACTACCATTTCGAGAGCTTTACTTTGTCAGCTTTTGAAGCTTGTCCAGGGCCCCAGGCAGCAAAGCCGCTACTAAACCTCAACACACAGCCGTGCTCGCCCTAAACCCTAAACCCTAAACCCTAAACCCTAAACCTTAAACCCTAAACTCTTTCCCGAAAGTGACGTGAATTTTCCAGCCGCAGGCCAAGGCTCTTCGCCATCATAGAGAATGTAAAAAGTGCCTCAGGTTTTTGGGCTCAGCGCAGGAAAGCCTTAAGGGTTTGCGCTTGCTTGAGGATTTGCGCCTTGTATCCTGAACCCGAAAATGATGGTAGAGTGGCACAGCCTGGAGCACCATTCAAGAGAGCTGACAGGTCTGACTTCTGGGCAAAGAGCTCGAGCCTTGTGGCCTGTGACCTGTTTGTTACTTCGTAGCCCAGTAACCATATTACAATAAGGGCACCCCTTTTGTGGTTGATTACTGTACAAGGGAAACCAGCAATAAAAAAAGGAATAAGGGTACCACTGGGCTACCAAGGTTACAGTCATGCTTTCGCGGTCGAGGTCCCAAGCAAACTCTCCAGGCCAATGGATGGCAAACCCCCTTTGCGCGGCCAAACTCGTCCCAACAAATCTGGTGCCTGCTTGAAGATCTTGAAGATTTCATGCGTACTCATGAGTAGGGCTAAACGCTACGAGTATGGTAGTGGCTGAAAAGCCTATCCCTTCAAGCAAGTGCTTCGGAGCTCGTCTGTCCTTTCTATGCCAGCCGGCAAGCCCTGGAAGAAACCCTTGCGATTCGAGGAGAAGCCTCAACAGATGCGCACTCCAACCCTAAACCCTAAACCCTAAACCCTAAGCACTGTGAACAGGCCCCCAAGGAGAACCACATGCAAGTGAAGCTGCTGCCCGGCTCCCCCTGCTGAAGGATGATTTCGCCTCACGGTTGTAGCGCAACCCACTGACGGGAAAAAGGGAGGGCGGGGAAGAGAGAGAGGAGAGGAGAGAGAGAGAGAGATAAGAAAGAGGAGCGAGAGCCAGCCAAAAGCCCCAGATAAAGCTAAAGCCACAGCCAAAGCCAAAGCCAAAGCCAAAGCCAACAAGACCAAACCAAAGCCCGAAGATAGAGAGGCCACATAAATAAATAAACATAAATAAATAAACATTAGATAAATAAATAATAAATAAATAAATATATATATATATATACATATATATATAATTTATTTATAGACATATATATATATATATGTATATATGTAAATACCTTTAAGGCATGTTTGCTATACGTGATCGACCAGTGGACCCAACTACTGCTTGTGAACAAGTCCGCTCACCATGAAACCTCGTCTGGGTTCAGGGTGGTAGGCCGTGGCGCGTGGAAAAGATGAGGGCCAAGGGCCCCATCCGACAACTACATGTACACATGTGCACGCCATAGCACTGCGGGAGAGGAAAAAGGCGTCAGATGACCAGGGTTTCGGGTTTAGGGTTTGGGGGAGTGTGGTTGGGCTGACTGACCCAAGCGATCAAAGCGCGGCATGAGTCGTCCAAATCCAAGCTTTGGCGACGAATGCGCATACAGCAGTCATGTTCGTGAAGAAGCGGACCGTATGACAGGTCGATGCTACATACAAAACCCTATGAGTGGAGAAACAAATCACAGGGAGAGGAAGACATGTAGAAATACTGTCAGAGGCGCGCACAGACGAAACAACCAGACGGACGGATGGAGGTCTCTTGGTGGTTTGCCCAAACCGCCCGCCTTTGGCGAAGTGCATCTCCACCAGTGCTTGAGCCAGAGCTTTCCTTGGCAGCACAAGGAAGTGTGTCCACATCCTAAGGAAGCTATACAATCATGATGTTTTAGGGGTTTAGGGTTTTCGGTTTCATTCACTTCTAAGTCAGCAGAGTTGGAAGGAATGGGGAAGCCACCAAAATAAATCAAACAGCTCTCGAACAATTTCAGTCTTACAGGTAAAGGTTGTTTCTGCCAAGGTCTTGTCGCATTGTCCAGAACAGAAACACCCGGGGCGCTCCCCCGAATTGGTGATTAAAAACGCGCCAAAACCCGAACCGTCATGCGTCGAGTGTGGTCACATTGAACAGAATGGACATTCGACCAAGACTCAACAACGAAAGAACAAATCAATCGACGAACAATCGAACCGATTTTCCGGCGGTTGTTCCCCTATTTGTTCAGTGATTGTCGGCGATTTCCCTCTGTTATTTATTTATTTTTCTTGGGGGGGGGAGGGATCTTAGTAGCAACTGGGTAGACGACGCCCAGTGCGACGCATGGGCATTCTCCATGAGTCAGCGAGAGGCGCGAGGCCCCCCTAGTTTGTCTACTGTCTGCTCAAGAACACCCCCCCCCCCCCCCCGTCAAAAAAAAAAAAAAAAAACAAGATAATCATCCCTCTATTGCCCTTCGACGGAAGAACATGTTTTTTCATTTGTTTTTTTTGGGGGGGTTCTTAAGCAACTAGTAGTTGTCCTTGTTGCCCATGTCACATGTCAGAGTGCGGGGCTTTAGGACAACTTACTAGGAGGTTCATTGTACTTATTGGCCAATGATAGCCGTACTTATAACTGTACCTATAAATGTAATTATAAATCATATTCGGGGACTGATTTAAGGGGCTTATAAGTGGGTCAGAAGTGCAGGTAAACCCTAAACCCTAAACCCTAAACCCTGAAGCCTAAACCCTAAACCCTGAACCCTGAAGCCTAAACCCTAAACCCTAAACCCTAAACCCTAAACCCTAA